AAGCAATTCTCCTGCCTCAGCCTCCTGAGTAGCTGGGACTACAGGCATGCGCCACCATGCCCAGCTAATTTTTGTATTTTTAGTAGAGATGGGGTTTCACCATGTTGACCAGGATGGTCTCGATCTCTTGACCTTGTGATCCATCCGCCTCGGCCTCCCAAAGTGCTGGGATTACAGGCCTGAGCCACTGCACCCGGCCCTCACCCTTTTGTTTTTTAGCAAGATTTTTTTTTTACAATATATATTTATTGGAAAATACCCAAATAATTACATACCTATTATTTAGTCTAACTTTATATTCTAAATTATGACCAGTTTTGTCTACAGGTATTTACTTCATTACATTTACCTAATTATTTTAATTGTTTACGTACATTATTTGTGAAAACTATGATAGTCATAATTTAAAGTTATGAATTATAACTGAGACAGTGAAAAATAATTTGACCTAACTAACTTCATCTTGCTCTTAAGCTCTAAGCTGTCCTTATTCATTCCTGGCCATAGGCTGAACTGACTTTGGGAGGAACTTAGTTCATAGCTTAGCTTTTGAACAAAGATTACAGTCCTTTCCCAAAAACCTCCTTATTGCCTGTGGACTAAAGCCATAAGATTAGAAGTTACAATATTCTTACTAAATTTAAGATGCAGCTATTTTCATTAAACCAATATCAATATCTTATTTATTAAAAATGATACAAGCCAATATTATCGTGTTTGGGTTGGGTTTCAAGTTTTGTAACTCCTGTGCCAAATTTTGACACCTTATAGTATCTGGCAGAGAACTATGAAATTTCTTGATTAATAAATGCAAGCAAAAAATGTATGCTGTCAATTGTTAAGACATTTCTAATATTACTTTACCAATAATTTTAAAACTAGCTTATTTATTAAAGATTTTACTTAAGTTACATGAATTTGAAAGAGTGTTTAACTAGTCTTTTTTAGTATCTGATTTAAGTGCTTTTATTTTTTACTTGTATATATATTTTTTAAAGATAGGGTTTCACCGTGATGGCCAGGCTGGTCTTGAACTCCTGACTTCAGGTGATCCACCTACCTCGGCCTCCCAAAGTGCTAGGATTACAGGCGTGAGCCACCATGCCTGGCCTAAGTGCTTTTATTTTTTTAAGCCAATTAATTAGAGCACTTTTATATATTTTTAGTAGTGAAATATTGTGTGCACAACACATAAATAGGTAGACATATTAGGCATGCCAATAGAAGTACATTTTGTAAATTCATAAAAACCTTTTTTTTTTTCTATCAGACTTTCAGATTCTTGATAACCTGCTTTATAGCCCTGGACAAATGTCAGCTAAATAGCCTTAAATTTGTGTGTTAAAGGAAGCAACTCAAGTGAAAGTCAAATAGCAGAGTTTACATTATAAGGTGTGGGGAGAAAAAGTGTGGATTATAGAAATTATAATGGCCTTTTAAATACACACACACACACCAACACCCTATAGCTTTTACTTCAGAATTTTTGGCCATGAGATAAGTAGAAATTTACCAGCTTGCAAAAAGAGCTTGTTGTATCTATAATAGTGGTTTTTTCTTAATAGAAAAATAACAGCAGATTGAGAGCAGGTAGAAAGAAAAAATAGAGAAGAAGAGTACTTAGGAACTCTATAGTTTGCATGTCAACCTTAGGACTCTTTTTCCTTAATGTAAGTGTGCACAGAGACTATATTATTTGCATTTTACATAAACTTTGGCAAGTAGAAGTACTGTAAAACCAGCCTGTTGGTCAGGCCGGTCTCAAACTCCTGACTTTGTGATCCACCCTCCTTGGCTTCCCAAAGTGCTGGATTACAGTCATGAGCCAGTGCGCCTGGCCTTTTTTTGTTTTAAGATGGAGTCTTGCTCTGTTGCCCAGACTGGAGTGCAGCAGCACGATCTCGGCTCATTGCAACCTCCACCTCCCTGGTTCAAGCAATTCTCGTGCCTCAGCCTCCTGAGTAGCCGGGATTACAGGCGCCCGCCACCACACCCAGCTATTATTATTTTTTTTTTTGAGATGGTATCTCACTCCATCATCCAGGCTGGAGTGCAGTGGTGTGATTTTGGCTCGCTGTAACTTCCGCCTCCCGGTTCAAGTGATTTTTCTGCCTCAGCCTCCTGAGTAGCTGGAACTACAGCATGCAGCACCATGCCCAGCTACTTCAGATTTGTGGAGTTGGCATATTAGTGCTTTCTATGACATTTTCAAAGGAGTGAAGGATTGTGACATTATAGCATTTTGCAGTACATAAAAAGCACCTGAAAGGAGCATAGTTCCTCTCTTCTTATCAATTGTCAGGTCTTTACAGAGGGTCAGTCTTTTTCCTTTTATTTTAACCCATGATTTTTACGAATTATGACAGTCAAATAGTGGTTCTCAGATGCCTGTGTGTGCCCCTTCTGAGGATCTCATCTATCTAACCTGGCAGCTTGCACAAAAGAGTTATAGTTATTGCTGGCTGCTAACTCTTTGGGGTAGCAATTGGGGTCCTGAAATCCCAGTTGCTTAATGCTAGAAGATTACAGTGAGGAAGCCTAAGGTGTTAAAAATGTTTGCTCTTTTCACATCTACTTTTCATTTGTTCATCATTAAGTCAGCAGACGTTTATTCAGCATCAAGCTTGTGCATGGCATAGGAAACAGAGTTGAATCAAGTGGCCTTTCTTAGGCCACCAGAGAGAGACCACCTGTGGACAGGTCAGGTGCAACTGAGGGTTCTAGGAGCTCTGGCAGGAGGCTCTTGACAATTCTGTGCTTTCTCTTCATCTAATTGTTTACCCTCAGGTTGAGAAACACTCACCTGATGTAGACATGCAGCAGTAGAGGATGCTTATAGCAGCTGAGGACAGATGTGAGTACAGATCATTCCAGCAGACTCCACTCAATGTGTAATGCTTTATGGTAAATGAGGAACTGTTACCTCTTTAGGTCTTATCTCATAACTGCCTTGAGATGCAGATAGAATAAGGATCCACTCATTCTGGAGGTGAGAAAACTGGGGTCCAAAGGGGATAAGTTCACAAGTGAAACAAAGTAAATGGTGGCAACATTTTTACTCCAAATCAGTTGCTATGACATGCAGGAAAGAAAAACAAGCATTTTATTTGTCATGCTGGACTGCCTTAGTTTAAGTAATCTAGATTTATAAAAACCCAGGTTTACTAATTCAACCAGGTTTAAATGGTGAATATTTGCATTGCAGAAGGATTTTCCAGGCTAGGCATGGTGGCTCATGCCTGTAATCTCAGCACTTTGTGAGGCTAAGGTGGGTGGGTCAACTGAGGACAGGAGTTTGAGACCAGCCTGGCCAACATGGCGAAACGCCATCTCTACTAAAAATACAAAAATTAGCCGAGTGTGGTAGTGTGTGCCTGTAATCCCAGCTACTTGAGAGGCTGAGGCAGGAGAGCCACTTGAACCTGGGAGGTGGAGGTTGTAGTGAGCCAAGATCACACCCAGCCTGGGTCACAGAGTGAGACTCTGTCTCAAAAAAATAAAAAGATTTTCCAGTAAAGGTAGGTATTGTAACTTGGAGCATACAGATGGTCTTCAAGGGTTTTGTAGGTCTCCTGAAATCATTTCCACAATTTTGTATTTGCTTGCCTTTTAGCAGACATAGTAATAATCAGATTTCCAAAGGAATCTGTACAGAGAAAAGGTAGACACCCTCACTACTCTAGTAGATTTTTAAAAAATCAACATGTAAAATTTTAAATTGTGGTACTTAATGGAGTGTTTCTCAGTAACTCTTCAGAAAATGTTTTTAAAAAGAAAATATTTAAATGCAGTTTTACAGGAAAATGTTACCTTTCTTAGTATGTTGCATATGGTAGAATATTATACTGTGTAGAAGCATCTCAGTTAATAAAAAGGGGAATTTTAAAAGGTCACTTTGTTTTCCATTGCTGGATAAGGAGTGATAAGGAAAATTAAACTACAGATGGTCCCCAACTTACGATGGTTCTACTTAACCATTTCTCAACTTTGTGATGCAAAAGTAATATGCATGTAGAAACTGTACTTAGTACCCATACATCAATTCTTTTTTACTTTCAGTACAGTATTAGTAAATTACATGAAATAGTCAATGCTTTATTATAAAATGGGTTTATCTGAGCTGATACTGCCTAACTGTAGACTAGTATAAGCATTCTGATCATGTCTAAGGTAGGTTAGGTTAATCTATGATGTTTGGTAGGTTAAGTGTATTAAATGCATTTTTAATTTATGGCATTTTAAATTTATGATGGGTTTATTGGGTTTGTAGTTATTACTGGCTGCTGACGCATTGGCGTAGCAATTGGGGTCCTGAAATCCCAGTTGCTTTTAACTAGAAGATTACAGTGAGGGAGAATATTTAAAGTGTTGAGAGAAAAGAAAACCCACCAACTTGGAATTCTGTACCCTGCATAATTATCCTTCTAAAGTAAAGGAAAAACAGAGACTTTCTCAGACCAAAAATAAATAAAATTGAAGGAATTTGTTGCTAGTAGATGTGCCTTGCAAGAAACATAAGAAGTTTTTCAGAGAGAAAGAAAATGATGAGTCAGAAACTCTGATCTAAATGAAAGAACATTGAAAAAAGAATAAGTGAAGGTAAAAGAAAAACATTATTTTTCTTATTCCTGATGGGCTAACAGATAAAATTTGTTCACAATAATAGCAACAATTTATTTTATTATGTATACTTTTATATGCCAATACATATATGTATATAAATGAACATATATATGTGTTTATGTATTCTTTGTTGTAAGTGAAATAAATGACAGCAATAGTACAAGGACAGAGAGGGAAGGATCAGGAATATTTTGTTATTATAAACTTGCAATACCTGTGGAGTCCTATAGTGTTATTTGAAAGTGGTCTTGGATTCACTGGAAATGTGTACTATAAATTCTAGGGCAACTACTAAAGTTTTTTTTACAAAGAAGACTAATTGGCCGGGCACAGTGGCTCACACCTGTAATTCTAGCACTTTGAGAGGCCGAGGCAGGTGGATCACATGAGGTCGGGAGTTCAAGACCAGCCTGATCAACATGGAGAAACCCCATCTCTACTAAAAATACAAAAATTAGCCAGGCCTGGTGGTGCATACCTGTAATCTCTGCTACTCTGGAGGCTGAGGCAGGAAAATTGCTTGAACCCAGGAGGCAGAGGTTGTGGAGAGCCGAGATTGTGCCATTGCACTCCAGCCTGGGCAACAAGAGTGAAACTGCCAAAAAAAAAAAAAAAAAAAAAAAAAAGCAGCATAATCAGTAAGCTATGAAAGGAGAGAAAATTGAATCATGTAAAATGCTCAGTTACCACAATGGACAGAACAAGTGTGGAAGACCAAAAGAGAAGCAAAGAACAAGGGCAACAAACAAACAAAACAGTAACAAATATGATAGCAGTTAGTCCAGCTATGTCAATAATCACTTTAAATGTCAGTGTCCGTTACATCAGTTAAAAGGCGGAGATTGTGAAAGTTTATAAAAAATAAGACCCAAATATATGTTGTTTGCAGGAAACCCACTTTAAGTATAAAGACACATATAGATTAAAAGTAAAGAGATGAAGAAAGATCCATTATACTAACACTGACTAAAGAAAATGGGGGTAGTTATACTTCTATACAGGGCGGACTGCAAAGCAAGGAAAGTTATCAGGGATAAAAAGCATTACATTATGACAACAGATCAGTACTCCAATAAGACAACCATCTTTAATGTAATATACATGTAATAGAGCATCAAAATATGTGAGGCAAAAACAGATAGAACTGTACAGAGAAAGAGATGAATCCACTATTATATTTGGAAATTTCAGTGCTCCTTTATCAAAAAGACAGATTTGGCATACAGAAAATTATTAAGAACATGGTTCAACTCAACAGCAGTCAATTGGATATAATTAACATGTATAAACTACTTTGTTCAACAACAGGTGTACAAACGTGTTCTTGTGGTGCTTCCTGAAGCAGTTGTACTTGCGGATGTAGTGGAAGTAGTCTCAGCGGATGACAGTGGTCCTCTGCATCTTCATCTTGGTCACCAGCCAAGGCTGGTGGATCAGTTGAGGTCAGGAGTTTGAGACCAGCCTGACCAACATGGTGAAACCACATCTCTGTAAAAATACAAAAGTTAGCCAGGCATGGTGGCGTGCGCCTATAGTCCCAGCTACTCAGGAGTCTGAGGCAGGAGAATTTCTTGAACTTGGGAGATGGAGGTTGCATTGAGCCAATATCGCGCCACTGTACTCCTGCCTGGTGACAAACAAGACTTCATCTCAAAAACAAACAACAATGAAGAATAAAAGAATACTATTAATAACTCTGTGCCTGTTACTTGATAACCTAGATGAAATAGACTAATTCCATTAAAAGACACAATCTGCTAAAACTCACACAATAAGAAATAGACAATCTGAATGGGCCTATATCCATTAGAGAAATGGAATCAATAATAACTTTCCAAACAGAAAGCACTAAGCCCAGAAAAATTATACCAATTTTCTACAATCTCTCCCAGGAGACAGAAGCAGAAAGAATACTTTTGAAGTCAACCTATGAGGCCTACATTACCCTAATACCAAAACTAAGGATAATATAAGAAAATAAAAATATATTCCAGTATCTCTCATGAACATAGATGCAAATATCCTCAACAAAATATTAGCAAATTGAATGCAATAATGTATGAAAATGACCGGGACCATGACCAAGTGGGATTTGTCTGAGATATGCAAGTCTTGTTCAATATTCAAATCAGGCTAGGGACAGTGGCTCATGCTTGTAATCCTAACACTTTGGGAGGGCTGAGGTGGGAGTATTGCTTGACTCCAGGAATTCAAGACCAACTTGGGCAACAGAGCAAGACCTTGTCTCTACAAATAATAAAATTGGCCAGGTGTGGTAATGTATACCTGTGGTCTGAAATCGGAGAATCACTTGAGCCTGGGCAGTTGAGGGTGCAGGTAGTCATGATTGCACCACTGCACTCCAGTCTTGGCAACAAAGTGAGACCCTGTCTTTAAAAAAACAAAAAAGCTAGTGTAATCTGGCTGGGCACAGTGGCTCATTCCTATAGTTCCAGTACTTTGGGAGGCCGAGGCCAGTGGATTACTTAAGTCCAGGAATTCAAGACCAGCCTGGGCAAAATAGTGAAACCCTGTCTCCACAAAAATGACCCAGGCATGGTGGCACACTCCTGTAGTACCAGCTACTTAGGAGGCTGAGACAGAAAAATCACTTAAGCCTGGGAGGTAAGGGCTGCAGTGAGCCAAGATTGTGCCACTGCACTCCAGCCTGGTTGACAGAGTGAGACCCTGTCTGAAAAAAAAAAAAAAAAAATTAATCCATCACATCAACAAGCTAAAGAGGAAAAAAAAGGCACATGATTCTATCAATAGATGCAGAGAAAGTATTTGACAATATACATCTCTGATTCATGATTAAAATTCTCAGCAAATAGGAATAAAAGGGAACTTCCTCATCTTGATAAAAAATACTTACAAAAAACTACAGCCAACATTATACTTAATGGTGAAAAACTCAGAGCTTTCCCACTAAGATCAGGAACATGGTGAGGATGTTCCCTGTCACCATTACTTTAAAAAGTTGTTTTCCCACCCATATCTTATATTGAATCATTAATTTTTTTTTTTTTTGAGACGGAGTCTTGCTCTGTTGCCAGGCTGGAGTTTAGTGGTGCAGTCTCGGCTCACTGCAACCTCCTCCTCCGGGGTTCAAGTGATTCTTCCACCTCAACCTCCCAAGTAGCTGGGACCACAGGCTCGTGCCACCATGCCCGGCTAATTTTTGTGTTTTTAGTAGAGACGGGGTTTCACCATGTTGGCCAGGATGGTCTCGGTCCCTTGACTTTGTGATCCACCCACCTTGGCCTCCCAAAGTGCTGGGATTACAGGCGTGAGCCACCGCGCCCTGCCTTAATTTTTTTTTTAACATCATACTGGAAGTCCTATATAGTGCAGTAAGACAATAAAATGAAATAAAAATTGTAAAGATTGGGAAGGAAGAAATAAAAATGTATTTGTTCACAGATGGCAATCATTTATGTAAAAAATCTGAAAGAACAAAAAACTCCCGGAACAAGTGTTTAAGCAAAGTTGCAGGATACGAGGTTAATATACAAAAATGAATCACTTTGCTATATACCAATAGTGAACAAGTAGAGTTTGAAATTAAAAAGACATTACAGGGCCAGGCACGGTGGCTCACGCCTATAATCCCAGCACTTTCAGAGGCCGAGATGGGTGGATCAGGAGGTCAAGAGATCGAGACCTTCCTGGTCAACATGGTGAAAACTGTGTTTCTACTAAAATACAAAAATTAGCTGGGTGTGGTGGTGCGTGCCTCTAATCCCAGTTACTTGGGAGGCTGAGGCAGGAGAATTGCTTGAACCCAGGAGGTGGAGGTTGCAGTGAGCCAAGATCATGCCACTGTACTCCAGCCTGGCACCTGCTGACAGAACAAGACTCTGTCACACACACACACACACACACACACACACACAATACAGTATGAACAAGTTTTTAATGAGGCAGACTATAAAACTTGATCAAATATATCAACTAAATAGATATTCCATGTTCACAGACAGAACAATTCAATAATGTCAAGATATAATTTCTTCCTAATTTATCTATAGAGTCAACGTAATCCCAATCCAAATCCCAACAAGTCATTTTATAGATGTTAAAAACTGATTCTAAAGTTTATATGGAGAGGTAAAAGACCAAGAATAACCAACTCAATATTATAGGAGAAACAAGGCAGAGGACTGACACTACCTGCCTTCAAGACTTAGTATGAAGCTACATTAATCAGGACAGTGATATTGGTGAAACAGTAGATCAATGGAACGGAATTGAGAGCCCAGAAATAGACTCACATAAATAGAGCCAGCTGCTCTTTGACAATGGAAAAAAGGTAAGTCTTTTCAGCGGATGGTACTGGAACACTATCTGCATGCAAAAAAAGAATCTAAACACAGACTTTACACCTTTTTTTTTTTTAACTCATTTTCTGGGGAGACTTTACACCTTTCACAGAAGTTAACTCAAAAATGGATTACAGACCTAAATGTAAAATGCAAAACTACAAAACTCCTAGAAAACAACATAAGAGAAAATTTGATGACCTCAGATACAGTGGTGACTTCTGGGCATGATCCATGAAAAAAATAATTGATAAACTATACTTCATTAAAATTAAAAGCTTCTGATCTAAGAACGACTATGTCAAGAGAATGAGAAAACAAACCACAGGCTAGTAGAAAATATTTCCAAAAGACATTATAAAGGATGATTATCGGCTGGAATGGTGGCTCATATCTATAATCCCAGCCCTTTGGGAGGCCAAGATGAGAGAATCACTGTGCCCAAGAGTTTGGGACCAGCCTGGGCAAGATGGCAAGACCCTGTCTCTGCAGAATTTTTTTTTTAAATTAGGGCACAGTGGTACATGCCTGTAGTTCTAGCTACTTGGGAAGCTGAGGGAATCCCTTGAGACCAGGAAGTTGAGGTGGCAGTGAGTCATAGCACTCCAGCCTGGGCCATAAAGCAAGACACTTTCTCAAAAACAACAACAAAACAAAACGAACACCACCACTGTTATCTAAAATATACAAACAACTGTTAAAACTCATCAGTGAAAAATAGGGCTGGGCGTGGTGGTTCATTCCTGTAATCCCAGCACTTTGGGACGCCAAGGTTGGTGGATCATTTGAGCTCAAGAATTCAAGACCAGCCTGGCCAACATGGTGAAACCCTGTCTGTGCTAAACATACGAAAATTAGCTGGGTGGTAGTGGCACTTACCTGTAATCCTAGCCACTTGGGAGGCTGAGGCAGGACAATCACTTGAGCCTGGGAGGCAGAGGTTGCTGTGACGTTAATCATGCCAGTGCACTCCAGCCTGGGTGACAAAGTGAGACTCTGTCTCAAAAGTTAAAAAATTAAAAATAACACAATTTAAAAATGGACAAAAGATCTGAAGAGACATCTGGGTAAAGAAAATATACAAGTGGCAAAGAAGCATAGGAAAAGATGCTCTGTATAATATTTCATAAGGGAAATGCAAATTAAAATGATAGTGAGATAACACTGCACACCAAATAGATGGCTAAAATTCAGAATATTGACATCACCAGATGCTAGCAAGGAAGTGGAGCGTTAGAAACTCTTATTCGTTACTGGTGGAAATGCAAAATGCTGCAGCCACTTTGGAAGACAGTTGGTAGGTTCTTACAAAATGAAAGGTACTTTACCGTACAACCAGTAATCACACTCCTTGATATTTACCCAGATAAATTACTTATATCTACACAAAAACCTGCACACAGATGTTTATAGCAGTTTTATTCATAATTGCCAAAACTTGGAAGCCACCAAGATATCTTTGAATGGAGAAACTAGTACATGCAGACAACTGAATATTATTCAGTGCTAAAAAAAAATGAGCTATGAAACTATGAAGAGACATGGAGGAAACTGAAATGTATATTACTAAGTGAAAGTAGTCAATTTGGAAAGGCCACATACTATATGGTTTCAACTATATGACTTTCTGGAAAAGGCAAAACTGAAGATAAAGGTTCATGAGTTAGGGAGGAGGGAGATGAATAGGTGGAGCACAGAGGATTTTGAGGGCAGTGAAACTATTCTGTATGATACTGCAATGATAGATATATGTCAGTATGCATTTGTCCAAACCAAGAAAACGCATAGCACTGAGAGTGGACACTAATGTAAACTTTGGCCTCTGGGTGACAATGATGTGACAGCGCAGGCACGTGGGTTTTAACAATGTAACACCGGTGGGGGATGTGGATAATGGGGGAAGCTGTACTTGTGTGGACACAGAGGTGTATGGGAACTCTGTATTTTCCTTTCAGTTTTGCTGTGAACCTAAAATTAGTCTTAAAATTTTTATTAATTAAAAAATGGCAGCTACAAAGCAGTAGAACTATATATTCAAAGAATATACATGACATTCTGTATCTAAAACTATCCTTCAAAATTGAAGGTAAAATAAAGACATTCCTATATAAACAAAGACTGAGATAATTGGTAGATTGCAGACTTGTCCTTCAAGAAATGCTGTATTAAAGGAAGTCCTTTAGGCTAAAAGGAAATGACTCTAGACATCTTGAATCCCCAGGAAGAAGGCCCTGGGAGAGAAATAAGAGGAAAACAAAATGTATCTATGAAGTAAAGTGAGAAATCTAATAGTGGGGGGAATAGATTGATAACTTACTGTATGCCTGTCCTAAAGAGACACAGCCATGTCCTCAGGAAGTATTCGCTAGGATGCTTGGTAAAGAAAATGACAGCACCTGCTAGGCTATTTTTAAGTGAAATCATAGATGCTGGGAGTGGCACACCCTTCTCAACTCATGACACTTGCCTTCCCAGTCAGCCTTTCCAGCATGTGCCCTTCCTCCTGTGTGTTTATTGGCATTAAAAGTGTACTAAAAGTTTTCAGGAGAGCTGTTACAGAAACTTGTTGCAGAGTAAAGGGCATTTCCTAGTTAAATTTCACAAAAATGTTTTTCAGTTCTAAAAATAACTTGGAATTCAGGGTGAGCCATCATCCTAAATAAATTACAGTAAGGCAAATTTGTCTGAGAGAAAAAGCGAACAGAGACATGATGATCTAACTCTGAGGAAACCAAGACAGGAATTTGTTGGAATTCAAAATATTCCAATTTTAACCATGAGACTAGATGAAATTAAGCAACATTTAATGTTTAATCCCCAGTGAATGACATATTTTGCTCCAGGATGTGATTTGTTTGCTGTAATTTGTTTTAGTGATATTTTGCCAAGATGAAGCTGCAGGAATGTTTGATTTTCTTACGGCAACTGGTGAGTAGTTAAAATGGACTGAGAACTTTTGTTCTTCAGGATTCTGCTTAATACTGAGCGTAGGCTAACAAAATAACACATCTGGGCTCTGTTTTTTCTGTAATCTGAGGGGATTGGATTAGATTATTTCCACGATACAATCTTATTCAACAAACATTTACGAAGTTCTCACCACATAGACGGTGTGAGAGTCAGAATGAGGGCCGGGCGCAGTGGCTCAAGCCTGGAATCCCAGCACTTTGGGAGGCCGAGGCGGGTGGATCACGAGGTCAAGAGATCGAGACCATCCTGGTCAACATGGTGAAACCCTGTCTCTACTAAGAATACAGAAAAATTAGCTGGGCATGGTGGCACGTGCCTGTAATCCCAGCTACTCAGGAGACTGAGGCAGGAGAATTGCCTGAATCCAGGAGGCGGAGGTTGTGGTGAGCCAAGATCATGCCATTGCACTCCAGCCTGGGTAACAAGAGCCAAACTCCGTCTTAAAAAAAAAAAAAAAAAAAAAAAAAGAATGAAAGGCCAGACCCTCAGAGAACTGCTGTCTAGGGAGGCACGTAGCAGTGAAGGGGAATTGTTGTGATGCTTTGTGAGACGCTATGGAGGCTGCACTGAAAAGGAAGTGACTAATGCTGTCCAGGTATGGAAGTCAGGGTTGCTGGGTGGCTTGAAAGAGTTCAGGGAGGAGATGGTGCCCAAACAGGACTGGAGGATTGAATAGGTGTTACCAGGGAGGACAGCAGTCAAGAACGAACTACTAGAGACCCACTTTTTCTTCTACCTTCTACTTATCAAAAAGCATTTAGCATTGAGAGTGTTTTCTATAATGAAGGCTCTTAAAATTGTCATTTAATGTCTTGAGAATCCTTGGTACCATTTAAAATATAGATATAGACCGGATGCAGTGGCTCATGCCTGTAATCTGAGCACTTTGGGAGGCTGAGGCAGGTGGATCACCTGAGGTCAGGACTTTGAGACCAGCCTGGCCAACATGAAGAAACCCCGTCTCTACTAAAAACACAAAAACTAGCCAGGTGTGGCAGTGGGCGTCTGTAATCCCCACATAACTCAGAAGGCTGAGGCAGTAGAATTGCTTGAACCCAGGAGGCGGAGGTCTCAATGAACCGACATCGTGCCACTGCAGTCCAGCCTGGGTGACAGGGTGAGACTCTGTCTCAAACACACACACACACACACACACACACACACACACACAGAGGTATAATCTAATGAAGTTAAATTAGGAAGAAATGGCTTTGGTACATTGTCTGGACACTAGGGGACATTTACTTCTTGAGTTTTTTGTCAGTTCTGTGTATTTCACTTCTTGAGTCTTTGTGCTGACCACTCTAGTGAATTGAATTCACTTTAAAAAGCATATCAGAAAGTAAAACTGCTTTTGTTGTATTTCTATTCCTGCTACAAATCTCCCAGAGTCTGCTTGCTGTGAAGTGTTAATAGTGAGGTCTCTTTCTGCCCCCATTTCAATGCCCCCATGAAGAAAATCCCATGAAATGTTACAAGGCATTTTAGTCGATGGAAAAGCAATACAAATGACCAGATTAGCTAGGTGCTTAAAATAGCATCAGATGGCCTCTTCGTAGCCCTTGCCACATGGTAATTAAATGTTTGTGACTGATCATTCTCCTCTCTGTCTTAGTCCACGCACACGATGGCATTGGGTTGGGTCTTGTTGATTCATTGATAGGGTCTAAGCTCCACATTCCTTAGTGGGTATTCAAATAATTGTTGGCCGACTAAAAGAAGGAATGAAATATAAAGGGCCCAATGTTTCAATGAAGGGAGCATAACTGAAAAAGCACTGAATCCAAATTATATCCATCAACTATGGATGCTTCCTTCAGGTTTGCAGGCAGATGCCCTGACCATTCATTACTCCCTCTTCGCCTGCCTTTCTTTCCCCTCAGCAGCTCTCAGCGTGTTACATTCGTGCATGCACATTTTACTTACCTTGTTTATTGTTTGTTGCTTTCATTACTGCATTATCTCCATGAGGACAATAATTTATTCCCAGTTTTGTTTACTGCACTCCAGAGCCTGGAACAGTTAGCACACAGTAGGTGTTTGGTGATCATTTGTTGAATGAATCTCTGCTACAGCAGATACACAGTGGATAATTGTGCTCAATCTTTTTATTTAAATTTAAAAAAATTTATTCATTTGTTTTGCGACAGAATCTCACTCTGTCACACAGGCCAGAGTGCAGTGGCATGATGACGGCAAACTGGAGCCTCAACTTCTGGGGCTCAAGTGATACTCCCACCTCAGTTTCCTGAGTAGCTAGGACCACAGACATATGTCATCACACCCTGCTAATTTTTGCATTTTTGGTAGAGACAGTTTACCACGTTGCTTGTCGATTCACTGATATGGCAGGTCTCAAGCTCCTGAGCTCAAGCGATCCTCTCACCTCAGCCCCCAAAAGGGCTGAGATTACAGGCATGAACCACTGCACCTGGCCATTCTCAATCTTGAGTGCAGATATTGTCATTTATTGTGCTTCATTCTGGTTGTTTTGTTTTTTTTTTTTTTTTTGAGACAGGCTCTCATTCTGTTGCCTAGGCTGGAGTGCAGTGGCATGATCATAGCTCACCATAACCTTAAACTCCTGGGCTCAAGCAATCCTCCCACCTCAGTCTCCTGAGTAGCTGGGACTACAGGTACGTGCCACCACACCCAGTTAATTTTTTCACTTTTTTAGATGGTATATCAGTATGTTGCCCAGGCTGGTCTCAAACTCCTGGGCTCAAGCAGTTCTCCCACCTCAGCCTCCTGAGTAGCTGGGGTTACAGGTGTGAGCCACTGGGCCAGCCTTGCTTTATTCTCAAGTTTCTGAAACTGATGCCTGTATATAGTTCCTCTTAGATACTCTAGTTGATACTCTAGCATTTCCTTTTAAACTAGATTTCTGAACTCCTAGATTTCTGATCTCATACTTACATTGGCGTCTTGCCTGTCTTGTTGCTGTTGTTATACGTAATTTTTAAAGACAGTAATCTGATTTAGGAGTGAGAAATTAGCAGTGGCCCCGGCCAGGTGCTGCTGTTCAGCCAGCACAGCAGTTTGAATTGTTCTGACTTTGAATAAAATCTTCAGGCAAGGCTTGCACTTTGGACACCCCACTACTCCGTTGTTTTACACTGATTGTTTCTTTCATTATCACAATTATTCAATTTTTGTGTTTCTTTGTGTATTGTCAGTCTCCCATAGAGGCTGGCTCCATGAGATCAGACAGCTTTTCTCCTTCATTCCTTGCCCTCCACCCCAGCCCTAGCTCCGTGCCTGGTACCAGAGGGAACACAAGAAGTGTAGTTGACCAGATGAGTGTACAACATCCAGGATCTGAGGTGATCCCTGGTGTGGGTGTGGAGGAATAAGGTTGGTCTTTCTACCAAACATACTTAAACATGGTGAGTCCTTAAAGCTGCCAGCTTGGCTGCTATTGCTTGGAATGTTTCTGAAATCTTCTCTGGGAATTGCCTTTTTTCAGTTTATGATTCACAGCACAGTTGTTCAAGATTTTCACATTTACAAAGTGCTTTCCCATGCATTTTCCCAATGGAGCCATCATCCCCATTCTGATGTGAGTGTGCTTAGTTTCCTGTAGTGAATGAATCTGCCTGTGTTGCACAGCAAGTCTGCAGCACGGTGGCCTTGTCCCCCTCCCCCGTGCCAACCTGGTGTTTTCTCTTCTTCACCACCACAGTGACTGCTTGTCCAGTTTCTGTCAGGGTCGGGGCAGGGGGCCTGGGCCTCTGGTGTGTTTTCTAGGAAAGAGTGACATTAGTCCAGCGTCTTCGAGTAACACTATATTCACTTTTTTTTTTTTTGAGACAGGGTCTCACTCTGTCACCCAAGGTGGAGTGCAATGGCATGATCTCTACCTCCTGCATTCAAGCTATCCTCCCACTTCAGCCGCCCAAGTAGGTGGGACTACAGGCCTATGCCACCATGCCTGGCTACTTTTTATTTTTGTAGAGATGGGGTTTCACTGTGTTGCCCAGGCTGGTCTCAAACTTGTGAGCTCAAACAGTCCACCCACCCTGGCCTCCCAAAGTGCTGAGATTATAGATGTGAGTCACTGGTCACTGTGCCTGATCTAAATTCACTTTAAAAAGCACATGAAAAAACAAAATTTTGTGTGTCCAGGTTCCTAGGTAGCCATTTTAAGTGCTGTAATTGTTAAGGGGGGCTTTTGGGCGGTAATGAACAGGCAGCCTTGGCATGGGCTCTGCCTCCTGTTTGTTGTCACTGCAGTCATGTGCCGTCATGTTAAAGGGCCCAGGGCTGGGCTTTGGCACCTTTCTCTTTCCCCCCCCCCAACACACACCCCCCCCTGCCCCGCCACAGGATTGCTGGGAAGCAAGTGCTTGGTGTCTTACTGAAGAGCAGAGCTCACTTCAATGTGGCTGCCCTTCCCAGGATTGAACACTCAGGAACCTGGTCTGAAATCTCCAGCCTTATTTCAGGTTTTATTTTTATGAAAGCCAGCCTGTACTCTCTTAAACCAGGGGCCTGAAGGCTGGCTTCTGAAAATATACCCCACAGGCCACTCTGCCGTGGCTTGTTTAGGCATTCCAGGGAGGGCTTGCTGACCTGAAGGTGTCCTCTGGTCCAGGTCAAAAGACCAGAGAAGATACTGGCGCCAGGATCCGCCACTGGCAAGGTAGCTGCCATCTGAGGTAGGATATTGTTCTTTTTTTTTCAGTTGGAGGTAGCCTTAACTATGGCTTCTCAGGCGTTTGAGACAAACAGAAAAAGCAGTTTGACCCCTGCCTTTACTTTCTGAAAATGACAGAAACTTTCAGATATATCTTAAGACATGGGTCATAAGCATGACCCATAGTTTATGTCACCTTAAATAGAGCAGCTGATCAGAACTGGCCATTGGTTATAAAATAAAATAGTAGGTGTAGGTTTGTGGGAACAGGATCCTGACTGCTTTAGCAGTGCTAAGCCGCTCCATGCCGTGTGGTTTCAGTGTCTTGCCTTCCAGTTGGAACTCCTCTCTGCCCCTTAGCCCGATTTCCTTGTGTGTAACATGGCAAATTATTTCAGGGCTAATCCTTCTTATAGACCTGAAATTGTTCTTTTTAGAAAAACTTTAGTAGGTTTTGAGATCCCCTCCTTTGATTCTCAGATGTGGCTGTTAGTAGTTTAATTTCTTTGTGTGGTTTCTGAGTAGATTCCAATGACCTATTTTTATTAACAGTTCTTTAAAAAAAAAATGTTTGAGAGAAAGGAATCTTAGGAATGGATTCCATCTGTGAAATGCAATGGAGAATTTTGGCCAAAGTAGAAGGAATGGAATGGATGGCATAAAAGGTGACATTTGTGCTCAGAGTTGATTTCTTGGTGATAGTCTCATGTCTAATTGGAGGTTCCAGAAGTTCTTTAAAGGGTGGATGAGCTGTATAAACTGATGTGAGGGAATTAGACAGTGGTGGGTTCAACAGAAAGTAAAGGAGTAGCAGTATCCCAGAAAGCCCTGAACTCTGGCTGCCCTTAGAAGGACTTTGCTACCTTTGCACTCTTTTAACCTGGGTTTAGAGCTCGTTGATCTGGCAAGGGATGAAAATACAAGCAGACAGCATTGATATGTGAGCCCCTGAGCTCTGTCCCTTCCTCAGGCCGGTTCGCGAGACTTATCATCAGTGCGAGACCATGCTTCGGATCCCTTGCCCAAGGACTAAGGGTGTGACTGAGTACACACATTCCATGTGTAGGTGGTACCCTCTGCTTCCAGATGCTGTGTGCACTATGGTTTCTATTTGAGGGGCTCTCACCTTTTTCTGGGTTCGGTCTCTCTCCCCATGTCTCTGTCCTGCTTTCTGCCGTGGCTCACAGTGGTACTGCATGGACTCTCTCCCTTCTTTTTATAAGTTGATCTCCAAAGGCTGAAAATTGTGAGCAAGATATTTTTTCCCAGTCCCTTTTTATACAATCAGTCTTGCTTTCTCAGTCCATGATCTGGTTACATATCTCAAACTAGCAGCTAATAAGGGTTTTGGTATAAAATACATGATTGGTAAATATATTAAAGTCCTTCTTGTATGTCATTTTCAAAGAAAACAGGCTTCCCTTTGACCTTGGTTTATGTAGACTTATTTCCTCATCTGGAAATGTGGCCAGCTAGAACAGTTTTTCCCACTGCGAAGCTGTCCTTTTTACTGGCAGAAAGCCCTGGACATCATAGCAAGGTGATGGGGTTTCCCTGGCTAGTTCTCATGGCCATCCTGACTTCCAAAGACAAGCACGTTAAAAATCAAAATTTTGTGTGTCCAGGTTCCTAGGTAGCCATATTTAGTGCTGTAATTGATAAGGAGGGCTTTTGGGCCATAACGAACAGGCAGCCTTGGCACGGGCTCTGTCTCCTGTTTGTTGTTACTGCAGTCGTGTGCCGTCCTGTTACAGGGCCCGGGGCTGGGCTTGGCACCTCTCCCTGCCCAAGGAGGCTCAGCAGTGTGGACACATGCCCTGAAGAGTAGAAGAACAGTTAGGAGGGCTTTCAGAATTTGAAAAACTCCTAGAAGGAGTCGGGATTATCAACCTGAACAGCTTCCTCTGGCCAGGAAAGTTCTGCTGGAATTGAACCTGATTCTCAGATAAATGCCTTGCTCTGGGGTATCTTTTCCCACCATGGTCATTCTGTGTTAGCAGGGGAGAGTTGGCACTGGATTTTGTTTTTTGTTTGTTTGTTTGTTTTTTGAGACAGGGTCTCACTCTGCCATTCAGGCTGGAGTGCAGTGACGCACTCTTGGCTCACTGTAGCCTCAGCCTCCCAGGCTCCTCCCACCTCAGCCTCCCAAGCAGCTGGGACTACAGATGCACACCACCATGCCTGGTTAGTTTTTGTATTTTCTGTAGAGATGGAATTTCACCATGTTGCCCAGGCTGATCTTGAATTCCCAGGCTCAAGCGATCCCCCTGACTTGGCCTCCCAAAGTGCTGGAACTACAGGTGTGAGGCACTGTGTTCGGCCTTGGCACTGGCTTTTAATTTACTTTGCATTCTGATTTGATAGCAACCCACCAGACTGAATGCAACGTGCCCTCTCCCCACAGCAAGCGGCCCAGGCCAAGGATGGATCCGATTCACCTGGTGCCATGTTTGCCTCAGGCAAAGTGGTCCCCAGGGCCAGGAGACCAAGGCTGGATGTTGTGTCAGGTGCTCAAGGAGTCCCAGAAGTATACAAGACGGTGTGTAGTTTTCTCTCTTTTCTTCATGTCATAGATTGCTGGCTTGAGTTTTAATTAGGTTGCATGAAAGTGCAATTTGTGGGGAGCTTTAATCATCTTCCACTGGGGAGCCTTGCTGGGCTGGTTTATTTTCATCCTGCTCCTCCCGGAGTGTGAGCAGGGGGTTGAGGGACATTTTAGTACCTGTCTACTCTCTCCTGCTTTGCTGGCCTTGATAACCACATTTTCTAACATAAAACTCGGGATGTGAGAGCCCAACTGCTGACAATGTTGTAGAGTTTTTCCTATTTGTTAATTTGATTAAACTGAAGGGTTTATGAAGATATAGAAGTTAAACAGCACTGGACATTTAATGAGCTTCCTTTATTTGGAAAGAACCACTGTTCATAAGCCAGGGGTCCCTACAGAGAGCCTTGGGAGTCTGATTGTTGGGTGAGGTCCTGGGCCAGGAACTTTGAGTTAGTCACGGTCATGATGATGCTGGTGGCAGCTGTGTTCCCTCTGTGCACACAAGTGAATTCATTCAACCTTGTAACAAACCAGGAGGCAGGTCCTCTCACGTCAGCTCAGAAGTGAGGACACCGAGGCCCAGGGCAGTAAGGCCCTTTTGCCAGGCTGCCAAGTGACTGGGTTAGGGTGTCTCCCCAGCCGGGCTGGGTTGAGGTTCATCCTCATGACTACTGCACTGCCACTGTTAGGCTGCAGTTTGTGTTTTTCAGGGGGTCTCTGAGTTTTGGGAAGCAACAGGCTGCATACTTAGCTCTTTTTTTTGAGACGGAGTTTCGCTATTGTTACCCAGGCTGGAGTGCAATGGCGTGATCTCGGCTCACCGCAACCTCCGCCTCCTGGGTTCAGGCAATTTTCCTGCCTCAGCCTCCCGAGTAGCTGGGATTACAGGCACGCACCACCATGCCCAGCTAATTTTTTTTTTATATTTTTAGTAGAGACGGGGTTTCACCATGTTGACCAGGATGGTCTCGATCTCTTGACCTTGTGATCCACCCGCCTCAGCCTCCCAAAGTGCTGGGATTACAGGCTTGAGCCACCGCGCCCGGCCCATACTTAGCTCTTGACCCCCATAATCTCAATGGCGTTCTGCCTTAGCCCCAGGTTGTAGGTTTGAAACGGGGTGGATTTCACAGGCTCTGGCCTCCAGCAGACCATGGAGGAGTGTTCAGAGGGGTTTTTGCCCAACACACCTAGTGGAGCTCTGGGCCCCAGCCCCAGAGGCTGAGCCCAGCTATCCTTCCCTGAGCCCAGGCCCCTACTCCTTTCACACCTCAAGCTCATTGTGGGCAGTGGCTGGTCCCTGGGCTATTCTGGACAAGGCAGGGTAGTCCTACCCTGAGACTGCCTGGTACAAAGACCCGGGATTGCAGTGAGAAAAAAGCTTTTAGCAAATAGCCATCCGGCTGGGCTGAACTCCACCCAAGTCCGCACTCCTCAACCAGCTTATTACATGCAAGTTCTAAGCTATACTTACCTGGAGCCTGCCCTCGCTTTCTGTCAATTGGTATAATTTTCTGGTAAAGTTATTTCAACAAACTGGCAACCATTCCCGCCTCCTGTTTATCCCTCCTTCCCCTGGGAAACCCTCCCACATTCCCTGTTTTCAGGATCTTTGTCCTGTGCAGAACTCCAGGCAGCGCCCACAGAACCCAGAGTGGCACAGGCCTTGGTGCCTGCTCTCCACCTTTCCTGAGCACTTCCCAGGTTCCAGACAAAGGGTCCTTAGTAGCCTGCAGGCAAAAATACCTGGCCAGAGCTTCCTCTTGGGGCAGGGATGGTACCAGTAGTGTCTGGGCAAAGAGCTTGGTGCTTTAGATGCCACTTTAATCCCCAGTGCATCCAGCGGAGGCTTGGCCTAGTATAAAGCAAGAGGGAGCTGTAGCCATGCAGCAGATAGTAGCTGAGGAGTTTTTAGAAGTGGATTAAGTGGCAGTTTGTGGGAAACTTGTCATTTTTACAGTCTAAGAATGTGGCTATTTTTTATGGTCAAGAATTCTGGTGTGGCCAGGGGCAGTGACTCACTCCTGTAATCCCAGCACTTTGGGAGGCTGAGGTGGGCTGATCACCTGAGGTTAGGAGTTTGAGACCACCCTGACCAACATGACGAAATCCCATCTCTACTAAAATTACAAAAATTAGCCAGGCTTGGTGGTGTGTGTGACTGTAGTCCCAGCTACTCAAGAGGCTAAGACAGGAGAATTGCTTGAACCCGGGAGGCAGAAGTTGCAGTGAGCCAAGATCGCGCCTCTGCACTCCAGCCTAGGTGACAGAGTGAGACTCTGTCTCAAAAAATAAAAAAAAAGAATTCAGGTGTATCTGGAAAAGCAGGTGAAAACGTTAATGCTAAACTAGTTGAGTTGACAGTTCCAGTTGCGATAGAATCCTCTTGCAGTTTAGCATAGATCAGGACAGCCACCCTGAACATGAACTTCAGGATCGAAGTGACTTGGTGCATAGACAGATGCATGTTGGGAGTCTGCAGTATTCCTGGCTTCACTCTGGCATCCAGAGTTGATGCCCTGGATGGGATATTAAAGTGGGCTTGAGATGGGATATTAAAATAGGTGGGTGAGGTTTTACATCATTGCTCCAAGCCGATGAATAATTTAAAGCTACAGGCTGGTTTGCCAGAACTCTCTTCTTGGTTTCTAGCCTCTTCTTTCCTGAGAAGGATTCTGTGCTCATAAACCACAGCCCTGGAGTTGGACCGTGAGCCTTCTGTCTTATAGACTCTGGCTTGTTCCTCAAGTGGACTCCAGGGCATTGCTTTCCAGCAACAGCACACAGTCCTCACCAGCTTAGGTCACCAAGAGATAAGGTCTCCATCTCATCTCCTGCTTTGGGCACAGGGGGACAGGTGAATGTGGAGGAATGGGGGAGGCTCAGGAGAAATAAGGGAAGGTGGGGAAAAACACATCTTTCCCAAGAATCAGCTCTACACTGTTGCATACACACTCATACAGCCTCCGGGTTTCATCTGGCCGACCATGGCTCAATGGGGAATGCTGGGCGGGAACACGCCACGGGCACAGCGGGGCAGCACGCTTACTGGCCAGAGCCCACGCTGGTGCTTGACACAGGGCCCTGCACTGAATCCTTCTGGGCATCTGTGAGGCCTGTGGTCAGAAGTCCATCCATGGCCCTCACAGTAACAGTCGAGGGGCTGCCCCACCCAGAAACATCCATCCTCTCAGGGTCTACTCTGAAGAGGATAAGACTGGTACAATTTCTTTTTCCTTTCCTTATAAAAACCCTTTCCAGTTTCACAAATATTCAGGGATTGAAAACAGGCATTATTTGAGTTAAGGCCAACACAGGTTTCCAAAGGAGAGAAGGTGAGTGCTGACACATTACCTCTTCCTGTAACACTGTGGGTGATTGCGTCCTAGGCTGAATGGCAATCTCTGCTTGTTCCCTGAGGGGCAGCATGAGGCCTGTGGCTTTTCTGTCTGCTCTTGTCAGTACTGAGTGAGAGGAGGAAGTTCTGCAATGCTGAACAGTCGGCCAAGGGTGTAGGGCCTGGGACAATACTTGCCAGGGCTTAGAGCTGGAGTCCATAGAGGAAGATCTGGGATTCCTATCAGATGAGAGGAAGAGCCTAGGCAAGTTCCCTGAGTGCTGCTACTTTTTCACTGGTGTATTTGCTTTTGGTTCTTCCAGGAAGAATCTGCTGAAGGTGAGGGCCATGGACTTCATCACCTCCACAGCCATCCTGCCCCTGCTGTTCGGCTGCCTGGGTGTCTTCGGCCTCTTCCGGCTGCTGCAGTGGGTGCGCGGGAAGGCCTACTTGCGGAACGCTGTGGTGGTGATCACAGGTGCCACCTCAGGGCTGGGCAGAGGTAGGTCCTGGAGGCAGTGCTGCCAGGGGGTGGGGAGAAGTCAGCCAGGGATGAGGAGCCTCCCAACCGCACAGGGAACCACCACCACAAAAAGTGTTAGGACAAAATAAAACATGTTTTTTCTTGGATTCAGTGGGGAGCTCTGGTTTGCAGCTTTGGTGCATGCGTTCTGTGAGCTTTGCCATCCCAGTGCCAGGCCCCTGACTGTACCCTCAGCGTGGTCTCAGCAAGGCCAGAGACAGGATAAATAGCACCTCAGCTGTTCCAGGGTCTCCACTTTAGCTCCATTGCAATCCAGTGAACACCATGAGCTTCTAAGTCTCAGGAATGATATTCTGGGACCCTGGCTTGGAGTGTCAAAACCTGGGCTTCCCCTTCTCCCATTTCTGGAAGGCTGTGTGTTACAGAGCTCCGCTGTTTTCCTGCCAAACACATATATTGACTTGGCACGTTGCACATGCACATGCCACACCATCTGCCATCCATACTCACGCTGAGTTCCATGGAATAAGGCTGAGGAGTTCCATGGAAGAAGGCTGAGGAATTCCCTGAATTGTGGTGACCCCACCCGCTGCTGCATCTTCTGGTTGCTGATAGCTCAGCTGGAGCTGATGGATCACCTGCTAAGTGGGAGGCTCTGGGCCAGGTGCTAGGACAAACGGATGAAAGACAGGGTCCCTTCCTTCAAGGATGTCACCGTCAACTGTTGTAAGGAGAAAGGCAAGGACTTATCTCTGTATATTGCCATTGCAGTAGTGTCTGCTCCCAAACCAGCCTGCTGGGGACAAGGTACATGTATATGTGCTGGGTGGTGCTAAGCATTTTTACATGCATTATCTCACTGACTTTTCATAGCTAAGATTCAAAGAAGGAATGACCAGGACTTCCAGCCAGAAAGTGCAGAACCAAGAGTCAAATCCACATCTCTCTGTCTCTAGAACTCACAGTCTTAAAAAGCTTCAGCAGGGGAGATGGCCAGGTAAAAGGAAAGGTGGGCTGATAGACAGGACATTCCAGATGGGCCCAGAGGTGGGAGCAGCATGGTCGCACAGGGACTCATAAACAGTCGGGTGCTGCATGAACATAGAGGAGCAGATGGGCCTTTGTAGTGGAACTGACTTGCAGTTGGCCAGGGGTGGCCTCAGAAGGCTTTAGAAGGCCTCAGAAGTATGGATTCATTTATGTACCACTGTGGATGTTATATGAGGTCTCCATGGGTGAACACCATGTCTGTCATTGGATATCCAGACCTTTGCAGGGACAGCTGTCTGCAGGCCCTTTGCCATCATCAGTCCTCTGACCTTACTCAGTTACTATATATAGAGTGGTCAGCAGCCACTTCTCTTGAGCTCAAAGAAGCATTTTGTGAAAGTCCTTGAAGAGCATTTGAGAGATGGCAGAGGTGGAGCTCTAAGTCACAGGTGCTCCCATCCGTGGATGTTTGAGAAGCATGCTGTCATCTTCATTCTGCATCTCCTCTCTCCAAAACAAGATTACGAAGGGAACAGAAAATGTCACAGAGGTCACCAGGCCTGTCTATGTATCATAAGATGTCAGACCTTTCCTGAATTCCTGTCACTGCTTATATTCTGCCCCATTTAACTTCTTGGGAACAAGAGCCCCTCCATCCAGACAAAGTAGGGTAGATTCTTAACTGGCCATGTCAAGTACAGCCACTGTTGCTGTTCCCTTACTTCTTTGAGGAGGTAGAGCTATATGCTGTCCTCAGTGGCTCTGCCTGCTGTGTAGCCACCCAGAAGGTTTGGAGTTATGCAATGAGTCTTCAGTTTTCATATCTATCCTATCTTGTCTCCTGTTTTGTATTTAAGCTTCTTGAACTTGTCCTTGTAGAATAGTGGGACCAGTGACTAAAGGAACAGAATGTTCTGGATACCTACTTCCTCCAGCTTTAGCCACATGGCTGTGCACAGCTCTCTTGATTTCCAGCCAGGTGTGCTGGTGGCACTGGAGAGTCACCCACAGCCCTTCACATACGGTACCTTGGAGTTGTTTTCCTTTCTCCTTGGACCCTCCTACTTTCCAGTATCAACTTTTTCAAGAAATGAAAATGGAATCCTTCCAATCTGTTGTTTTCATTTCTGTCATTCCCTATACAAACTTTCATTTCCTCTCTTTTTAGCTTTGCTAAAAAGCAAAACTCAAACAGAATTGAGGAAGTCATCTTCACAAAGTTGTTTAGACTTCCATGGGACTCCCACCTTTGGTTCTGTATCTGCACCCTGTGGTGGCCCCTCACAAATGTCCTATGCATTGGTCAGGACAAGACAAAATGGGGTGAGGAAGCAAGTAGGGCCCAAGGTTCCTTTGGGAATGATTTCTAAACTGGATGAGCAGTTCTAGCCTCAGGAATACGGGCATCTGGCTTGGAGTGCAGCCACCACCCCCCTCCTTGCTATGGGGACTTTGCTGCTCTGCTGCGAAGTGCACCAGGGCAGGTGGGCTGGAGTGCTGGGACCAGGCCGCACTACCCAGGGTGGGTGCTCTCTGAGCTTCCGCCCTTTGTTGGGATGAGCCAATGAACACACCAGCCTCATGTCCTTCAAAGAAGATGGTGTGTCTAGATTGAGACTACTTAGCACCTTTTTCCCGAGGACTGTCGGGTCTGTGGAGAGGCACCTGGGGTGAGCTAGTGCTGTGTGGGGAGCTGAATGAGGAGCTGTGGACCACAGGGAGGCTTTATACCATGAGACAGACATCAGCAAGCCTCTCCTCAGACTTCTCAGGACTCCTGGTGGTGAAGGACACTGGAGTTTCCTCTCCTCCCCTGTTTTGAGCTAATCTAGCTTTAAGGAATTTTGACACTTCTCTAAGGGAAGGACTCTTCAGACCAGTACCCACTGCCTGCCCCTCTGACCTTTCCTTCCTTCCCAGCTGAGGAGCTAGATGGCAGCCCTGATTTTCTGACCCTGCAGCATTGGCCCCTCACCATCTGGCTCCCTGAGATGGAACTAGCCTGCAAAGGCCATTCCCGTTCATGAACTGGGAGCTAGGGCACCACCTGGTCACGTGGGCCTCTAAGATTTGGTCTGGAACCAAGTCAGTGGCTCACTTGTTGTCAGGTCAGGGTGGGCCAGGGGCTGAGGTGTCCTGTACAGATCTGCTGGTGCACATTTGAGGGAGACTACATCTCAGGTGAGAACAGGAGTGCCTCTTTAAACCAGCATGTGGCTGAGTGTGGTGGCTCACACCTGTAATCTCAGCAATTTGGGAGGCCCAGGCAGGAGGATCGCTTGAGGTCAGGAGTTCTAGACGAGTCTGGGCAACATGGCGCAACCCCGTCTCTACAAACATTAGCCAGATGTGGTGGCATGTGCCTGTAGTCCCAGCTACTTGGAAGCCTGAGGTGGAGGATCACTTGACCTGGGAGGTTGAGGCTGCAGAGACCCACGATCACAGTACTGCAATCTAGCCTGGGTAACAGACCAAGAGACCCTGTATCCAAAAAAACAAAGTCAAAAACTACGTTGCAGTTTTCATCATCTGTTTTTAGGACATTGTTATTTATTTATTTACACTTACATTTTTATTTTTTTGAGACAGGTCTTGCTCTGTCACCCAGGCTGGAGTACAGTGATGTGATCATGGCTCACTTGACTTCCCAGGCTCAAGGGATTCTCCTACCTCAGCCTCCTGAGTAGTTGGGACTATAGGCATGTGCCACTGCACCTGGCTAATTTTTTATTTTTTATTTTTATTTATTTATTTTTTTGAGATGGAGTTTTGCTCGTTACCCAGGCTGGAGTGCAATGGCGCGATCTCGGCTCACTGCAACCTCCGCCTCCTGGGTTCAGGCAATTCTCCTGCCTGAGCCACCTGAGTAGCTGGGATTATAAGCACACGCCACCATGGCCAGCTAATTTTTTGTATTTTTAGTAGAGACGGGGTTTCACCATGTTGACCAGGATGGTCTCGATCTCTTGACCTTGTGATCCACCAGCCTCAGCCACCCAAAGTGCTGGGATTACAGGCGTGAGCCACTGCACCCGGCCTAATTTTTTATTTTTTATAGAGACAAGATCTCCCTATTTTGCCCAGGCTGATCTGAAACTCCTGGGCTCAAGCGATACTTCTGCCTCAGCTTCCCAAAGTGCTGGCATTACAGGCATGAGTCACTGTGCCCAGCTACAACATTTTTACAAAGTGGTTCAGACATATGGCCAGGCACAGTGGCTCATGCCCGTAACCTCAGCAGTTTGGGAAGTCATGGCAGGAGGATCGCTTGAGCTCAGGAATTTGACACCAGCTTGGGCAACATGGCAAAATCCCCATCTCTACAAAAATACAAAAATTAGCCAGCCATGGTGAGTATCTATGGCCCCACCTACTCTGGAGGCTGAGGTGGAAGGATCACTTGAACCCAGAAGTTCGAGGCTGCAGTGAACTGTAATTGTTCCACTGCACTCCAGCCTGAGCAACAGAGCAAAACCCTGTCTCTAGAAAAAAAGTTTTTAATAAATATAAATACAAAAACGACAGTTGACACTGCTGTAGTGCTGTTTATCTAGGGAGAACTGCAGTAGGAGAGTACCTACCTTAGCTCATTCAGTCCCACAGCCACACCCCCAGGGACTGAATGAGCTAAGGTAGGTAATCTCTTACCACAGTGCTTGATAGATGAAAAGCATCCTAAATAGGAGGAAAGTCAGAAACACAGAGGTTCTAACTTACCGGAGTTCAAGTCTAGCTCAAGTCCATTCTCTTGGCTGCTGGGCTGCTGCTTTTCATATGCTGTATATGTGTTTTCAGGGCACTATTTATTTATATAGGATATGCTGCAGGGAAGGCTAAGCAAGAAGTAGCAGCATCACTCTCTGCCTCTTCTTCTCCCATCACTGTTTCGTTTCTGACTCCTCACAGGGTAGTTCTCCCTCCACCCCCAGTTCTGAGGGTTTACCCTCCTGTGTCCAGGGTTTTTTTTTTTAGTCAGGCCTTCCCACTTAGCCATGAGAGAATTAACCTGTGACTCTTCTGGGGCCCCCATTCAAGGCTGACATGGTGGGAAGAGACAAGACACAACTGTGGCAGGGGCATCGTGTGGATGTGAGCCCCTGTAGCCAGCGCTTAGGTCCTTCCTAGGTTTCGGCCCTCCAGCTTGCCTCTCCATTCTTGAGCTTCCCCACAATCCCTCTGACAAATTCTCTTTTTGCTTTACCCCAGTGTGAGTTTAGTTTCTGTTTCATGCCACCAAAACAATATAGAGCACGTGTCTGACTAGCTTTGGACTGTCCCTGCTGTGGTCTTAGTTGAAGTCCTCATCAGTTGTCACCTGCAATAGTGCGGTGGGCTTGGTAGAGTCTGCTTTCCTCCAGTGTCCTCACTCCCTCCTGCCCAGTGGGACTGAGCCTTTTCAAAGGCAGGCACCCTTAATAGTCCTGTGTGTGGCAGGCACTCCCATGCACTGACTTGACCCCTTCCTAGTCAGTGAGGCTGTTAGACCTTCTGTCCCAGCCCCATCTGCCTGTGGCTCCTCAGGCATTCTGCTCCCTCTGCCTCAAGGACTCCCTGGGAAACAGCCCATCAGACCTTGGAAAGGCCTCAGTCCTCTGCCCCAACTTTTTTACAGGACCATGTATTTCCAGGAGAGCTGTACCTGGGTCGTGCCACCACACAGCCTTGGCAGGGCACGGCACCATAATAGCTGGCCCTGACTGTCCTTGCCAGTCAGGACAAGCCCCTGCCTGAGTGATGCTGAGCTCCCTCGGCTATGAGGATGGGTGATGCTCACAGCTGATCCAAGTGAACAGAAGTATCATGGGGTGTTCTGAGCATGGTACTTAACACATCTGTCCATCTCAGCCTGCCTTTCTCTTTGCTGTGTGGATGTCTGTAGCATTGGATATAAGCCCCGCACTGGGCTCTAGCTCCCAGCTTCATGCTGGGCCACACAGCAGGGGCCAACACAAGACACGTCAAGGGTGTGAAACAGCAAACAGCAACACTGGGTGAATTTGAACTGAACGGCACTGGGGAAGAATGGCTGTGAAGGCTCTTTTCTCTTCCCTTAGAATGTGCAAAGGTCTTCTATGCTGCGGGTGCTAAGCTGGTGCTCTGTGGCCGGAATCGTGAGGCCCTGGAAGAGCTCATCAGAGAACTCACCGCTTCTCATGCCACCAAGGTGAGCCAGGGGTGTGCTTTCCATGGGGAAGGAGTGCAGGCCATCTTCTGTAGGCACTGAGGAGGTGGTAGCCCACTCCTGGACTGCTGAGCTACAGGACATCCATGTGTCACACTGTCCCAGGGAAGGCAGCAAGTCTCCATAGCAAATTGGGCCCCTGCATGGGGAGGGAGAACTGTCCAGTGGTTTACATCCCAGTGCCCCTGCTGGCTAGCACTGTGAGTTTAGAAGGTTCTCTCGTTCTCTCTTTCCTTTTACCTGGCTAAGCTCTACTCCTTGGGTGGGAATGGGGGTTGGTGATGACTTTAAAAGTTGTTTTTTTTTTTTTAATGGAATCTCCCTCATCACCCAGGCTGGAGTACAATGGCACGATCTTGGCTCACTGCAACCTCCACCTCCCGGGTTCAAGCAATTCTTTTGCCTCAGCCTCCTAAGTAGCTGGGATTACAGTCACATGCCACCACCATGCCTGGCTAATTTTTGTATTTTTGTAGAGACGGGGTTTCACCATGTTGGCCAAGCTGGTCTTGAACTCCTGACCTCAGGTGATCTGCCCACCTTGGCCTCCTAAAGTGCTGGGATTACAGGCGTGAGCCACCACACCAGGCCTTGTTTTCTTTTCTTAGAGTCTTGCTCTGTCACCCAGGCTAGAGTGCAATGACACAGTGATAGCGCACTGTAGCCTTGAACTCCTGGGCTCAAGTGATCATCCCACGTCAGCCTCTTGAGTAGCTAGGACTATAGGTGTGTGCCACCACACCCAGCTAAATTTTTTTTTTTTTAATTTTATATAGAGACAGGGTCTCACTATGTTGCCCAGATTGGCCTTACACTTGTGGCCTCAAGTGATCCTGCGACCTCAGCTTCCTCACTGTGGTTTTGATTTGTATTTCTGTAATTAAAAATGATGTTGAGCATCTTTTCATGTGCTTATTGATCATTTATAGATCTTTGAAGAAGTATCTATTCAGGGCTGGGCACAGTGGCTCACGCCTGTAATTGTAGCACTTGGGAGGCCAAAGCAAGTGGATCACTTCCAGGAGTTCGAGACCAGCCTGGCCAACATGACAAAACTCCGCCTCTACCAAAAAATACAAAAGTTAGCTAGGTGTGGTGGTGCACGCCTGTAGTCCCAGCTACTCAGAAGGCTGAGGTAGCAGAATCGCTTGAACCCTGGATGTGGAGGGTACAGTGAGCCGAGATTGGCCCAATCCCACTCCAGCCTGGGGGACAGAGCGAGAATCTGTCTCAAAACACAGAAATGTCTATTCAGGTCCTTTGCCTGCTTTTAAAATCAGGTTGTTATTTGTTGTTGTTGAGTTTAGGAGTTCTTTATGTATTCTGGATATTATTATTATTATTTTTTGGTGTGATTTTTCTTTTTTAATGATCATCATGAAATTCACTGGGCCAGGCCCTGGTGTTCTGCTGCCATAGTCAGAGTGGAGGGATGACCCCACAAGGGGACAAGAAGCCAAGATTGGCCTGGAGAGCTGAGAAGGGGGAGAGGAGGCAGTGGAGCAGGCAGAGGGGGAAGTCTGGAACCCTGCATAACCACGCAGATATAAAGTGAGGGCCTCCCTCTGCCACCCTAGCCCTGAGCCACAGAGTTTGAGGTGTAAGATGGGGGGGATTTTGGCCACAACCCATTTCCCAGGTCAAAGGGAAGAGACTGAGTGCAGAAAAAGGCCAAGGATCCCAGGGGGACCAAGAACAAGTTAACAAGTAAATCAATTAAGGACACCACCTTTTTTCCCCAGCCCGTTTTTCACATTTACAATGGAAGCAATTTGACAAGTGGATATAAAAATCTCAGACAAATTTTCTAACCCCTGGCCAGGGTTTGGACAGCAAGTGGTATCCAGTGATCAGGAATCAACACCTAAAATCCAGAGGCAGGAGGCAAGCCGTGAGGGGTGGGGAAGGAAGGAAGAGCTCCCATAGTCACTAGGTCACCTGCTCCGTGGGCCTCATCTGGATATCTCCGATCTGGACATGTTGGGGGGCGGTGCTGAGGACGTAGATAACAGCCTTGGTCACATCCTCCGGTTGGAGACATTTCATGTGCTCATAGGTGGCAGCTGCCTTCTCAGGGTCCTTGTCGTGGAGTCTGAAGGCAAATTGGGTTTCCACAACACCCGGAGAGAGGCACGTGGCTCGGATGTGGGTCTGGGCCTCCCGAAGCTCTTGTCTCCGTCCCTCTGTCAGCTCAGTGACGGCATACCTGGTGGCACTATAGAAGAGGTTCACAGACTGGGGGGACCACTTGGTGGCCAGACATGCTATTGATGTTAATGATGTGCCCATCGTCCACATTCCGCTCCTTCATGGACTGGTAGGCTTCCCGTGTGCAGATGCTGAGGGCCAACACGTTCACATTGAGCATCTCCTTCCAACCACTGGTGCTGCCTGAGAGCAGGGAGTCAGGCCGGCCCAAGCCGGCATTGTTGATGCAGATGTCTACGCCACTGTGCTGAGAATGGATAGCCGAGAACATGGAGAGGATAGCCTCCTCATTTGACAGGTCACATCTGTAGGGGATCAAAGTCCCGGAGTAGCCTGCACTCATATTCAGCAGCCAGCTCCTCGATGTGGCCCACGGTGCGGTGCAGCCCACCACCTTCAGTCCCTGCTGGACCAGGGCCCGGGCCACGGCCGCACCAATGCCCACTGAGGCTCCTGTCACCAGCGCCAGCCGGTCGCGCTACCGCTCCATGCCAGGTCCAGCCATGGGCCCGCGCCGCCCACTCACCTAGCTGGGTGAGCCCGGCACCAGGGTCGAGGAACTGACGCCCGGCCGCTTTCCCGTGACCGCAGCCGACCTGATCGCGTTCGACCCGCGGCGCGAACCACCAGCGTCCTGGCCTGCCTCCGGCTGTGACTCCATCCTCAGGCCCTCTGCGACCCGCCGCATTCAGTCGGGTATTCTGGATATTAATCCCTTACAAGATATGTGATTTGCCAATATTTTCTCCCATTCAGTATCATTTCATTTTCTTAGTACTCTGGTGCACAGACCTTTAATTTTGATGAATTTGCACTTTTTTTCTTTTGTTTGCCTTTGCTTTTGTTGTTATATCCATGAGGTTGTTGCCAAGTCCAACGTCATGAAAATTTCCTCCGGTGTTTTCTTCTATAAGTTTTATAGTTTTAAATGTCACATTTTAGGTGATGATTCACTTGAGGTAATTTTTGTATATGTTATTAGCTAAGAGTCCAATTTCATCCTTTTGCATGTGGTTATCTACTTTTCCCAGCACCACTTCTTGAAGACTGTCCTTTCCTCATTGAATGGGCATCCTTACAAAAATCAATTGATTACATATTTGAAGTGTGTATTTCTGAGTTCTTTGTTCTATTCAGTTGGTTTATATGTCTGTCCTACTGGTTTTTCTCCCCCTTAGTGGGAGGGGTGGAGCATGAGGGCAGGAAGCAGGGCTTGGGGGCGGGGGGGTGGAGGAGAAGGACCCATACTGTTTTAATTGCTATAGATTTGTATAAGTTCTGAGGTCCTCCAACTATCCTTTTTCTGGAGTATTTTGGCTATTCAGGGCCTACTGTATTCCCATATGAATTTTAGGATTATTTTTTCTATTTCTGCAAAAACTGCCAGTGGGATTTTGATAGGAATAACATCAAATCTGTTGATCACTTTGGGTAGTACTGTCATATTAACAGTCTTCATTCCATTAATGCAGATGTCTTTCCATGAACTTATATCTTCTTTAATTTCTGTCAGCATTGTTTATAGTCTTTAGTATACAGTCTTTCTCCTCCTTAGGTTTATTGCCAAGTATTTGTCTTGGTCTCTTTTTTGCTGCTGTAACAGAATATAAGAGACTGGGTAATTTTTATTTTTATTTTATTATTATTAATTATTTTTTAGAGACATAGTCTTGCTCTGTCACCTAGGCTAGAGTGCAGTAGTGTGATCCTGGCTCGATGCAGCCTGAAAATCCCAGGCTCAAACAGTCTTCTGCCTCAGCCTCCTGAGTAGCTGTGACTACAGGCACACACCACTGTGCTGGGTTAATTTTTTAATTTTTTTCTAGGGACAGGGTCTTGTTATGTTTCCCAGGCTGGTCTCAAACTCCAGGCCTCAACGGATTTATCCACCTTGGCCTCCCAGAGTGCCAGGACTGAGTAATTATTAAAGAGATCTATTTATCAAAGTCTGGAGGCTGAGAATCCAAGTTTGAGGGGCCAGCATCTGGTGAGGGTCTGGTGTCTGGCAGGGGCCTTCTTACCACGTCATAACATGTAGGAAGGCATCACATGGATGAGAGAGAGAGAAAGGGGCTGAATTTTATCCTTTGATAAGGGAGCCACTCCCACAATGACAGATTAATCCATTCACGAAGTTCCCACCTCTCAATACTGTTGCATTGGGGATTCAGTTTCTAACACATGGGTTTTGGGACACATTCAAACCTTAGCGTATTTAATTTTTTTAACTGCTATTTTAAATGGAATTGCTTTCCTGATTTCCTTTTCAGATTATTATTGTTTGTGTATGGAAGCACTGCTTATTTTTGGATGTTGTTCTTGTACCCTGCCACTTTGCTCAATTTGTAAATTAACTTTTATTAATTTTTGTGGATTTGTTGGAATTTTGTATATACAGAATCATACTATCTGCAAACAGAGATAGTTTTACTTTTTCCTTTCCAAATTGGGTCTTTTTTTTTTCTTGTCTAATTGTTCTGGTTAGCACTTCCAGTATAATGTTGAGTAGCCATTGTGAATGCGGGCATCCTTGTATTGTTCCTGATCTTAGAGGAAGGCTTTCCATCTTTTTCCACTGAGTATGTTATCTGTGGGTTTTTCATAAACATCCTTTGCTGTGTTGAGGAATTTTTGGTCTATTCCTAGTTTATTGAGTGTGTTTACCTTGAAAGGGTGTTTGATTTTGTCAGATCTCTTTTCTGCATTACTTGAGATGATCGAGTGGGGTTTTTTCTTCATTCTATTAATGTGGTGTTTTATAATGATCAATTTTCTTTTTTTTTTTTTTAATTTATTTTTTAAAGAGACAGGGTCTTGCTATGTTGCCCAGGCTGGCCTCGAACTCCTGGGCTCAAGCAAGCCTCCCACCTCAGCCTCCCCAAGTGCTGGGGATTACAGGCATGAACCTGCACCTGGCTATGACTGATTTTCCTATGTTGATCCAACCTTGCTTGCATTCCTAGGATAAATCCCACTTGGTCATGGTGAATAATTTTTTTTTTTTTTTGAGATGGAGTTTCACTCTTGTTACCCAGGCTGGAGTGCAATGGCGCGATCTCGGCTCACCACAACCTCTGCCTCCTGGGTTCAAGCAATTCTCTTGCCTCAGCCTCCTGAGGAGCTGGGATTACAGGCATGCACCACCATGCCCAGCTAATTTTTGTATTTTTAGTAGAGACGGGGTTTCACCATGTTGACCAGGATGGTCTCGATCTCTTGACCTCGTGATCCACCCTCCTCGGCCTCCCAAAGTGCTGGGATTATAGGTGTGAGCCACCGCGCCTGGCCGAATAATTTTTTAATATGCTGTTAAATTCAATTTACTGGTATTTTGTTGAAGATTTTTGCATCTCTATTCATGAGAGATATTACTCTATAATTTTCTTGTGATATCTTTAATCTGGCTTTAGTATCAAAGTAATGCTGGCCTCAGAGTGAATTAGGAAGTGTTTTCTCCTTGTTTTCTAGAAGAGCACGAGAAGGACTGGTGTTAATTCTCCTTTAAATGTTTGGCAGAATTCACCAGTGAAGCCATCCAGTCCAGGACTTTTCTTTGAAGGTTTTTGATTACTGATCCAATCTCTTTATCTGTTGTGTAAGTCTCCTGAGATTTTTATATTTCTTCTTGAGTCAATTCAGGTAATTTGTGTTTCTCAAGGAATTTATCCATTTATTTCAGTTTTTCTAACTTGTTGGCAAATAATGTTCATAGTATTCTTTTATACTCATTTTTTATAATCTCTTACAATATCTCTTGTCATTTCCATAAAGTCAGTGGTCCCACCTTCATTTGTGATTTTGGTCATTTGTGTCTTCTCTGTTTTTTCCTTGTCAGTCTAGTTAATGGTTTCTCAATTTTGTTGATCTTTTCAGAGAACTAGCTTTTGGTTTCATTGATTTTTGTTGTTTTTCCATATTGTTTGTTTATCTCTGCTCTAATCTTTATTATAGTATTTCCTTCGTCTGCTGGTTTTGGGTTTAGTTTGCTGTTCTTTTTCTGGTTCCTTAAAGGATAAAGTTCATTACTGTTTTGAGCCTTAGTGATCTGTAGCTACATACATCTGTACATAGCTCAGGTGGCCTGTCACTCAGAAAGTGAATTTGGTGTCTGTTGTATTTGACCAGGTGCAGACACACAAGCCTTATATGGTGACCTTCGACCTCACAGACCCTGGGGCCATAGTTGCAGCAGCAGCCGAGATCCTGCAGTGCTTTGGCTTTGTGGACATACTTGTCAACAATGCTGGGATCAGCTACCGTGGTACCGTCATGGACACCACAGTGGATGTGGACAAGAGGATCATGGAGACAAACTACTTTGGCCCAGTTGCTCTAACGAAAGGTAACAGTTTTGAGAAACCAGCAGTCACAAGTGATATGTTGCCATTCTTTTTACTTCACTTGGATCCTTTTCAGCAAAACGTTCCCTGTCTCCATCCTCTCTATTGCCCTGGAGTGGGTGTTATTGTTACAGTTTTGGTATCTGCTTTATAGTTTCCAGTTAAGATGTTCTCCTTTGTGACAGCCTCATTGGTGCAGCCTTACCTACATGTCTTTTTCATGGTGCCTGCAAAGCCCTACAAGGTGGGAAATTTTTATGTCCCACCATGGATTTCAATGCAGGGAAAAGGCTCCAGCAGGAAAAGGGAACTGTGCTACCCATCTGCAGTAACCTCCGTCCTTGTTTCCTTGCCTCTCTCCTCCCTCCTGCTGGCCTGCTGGCACTCTATGGGGCATAGGAGGATGGGAGTTCCCAGACAGTCCTCCACCCTAAGGGGTTTTCACCATTCTCCATCACTCTGACTAACGACTGGAAGTAGGGTACTTGTCTAAGCCCCTACCTCTGTCCTCAGCACTCCTGCCATCCATGATCAAGAGGAGGCAAGGCCACATTGTCGCCATCAGCAGCATCCAGGGCAAGATCAGCATTCCTTTTCGATCAGCATGTGAGTACTTCTCTCTCCCACAAATGCTTTATTGTTTTCTCCTGATTATAAAAATAATACATTTACTATTCAGAATTTAGACATTGTAGAAATAAACTATCCAGAGTGCAAAGGCACTTCAGAATGTGTTCTCCAGAGCCACATGCCTGGGTTCAAATCCCGGCTCCATTTTCTGTCCCCTCTGTGACCTTGGGCAAGTGTCTCTACTTCTCAGTGCCCTGCCCTCAAGTGTAAATGGAGACAGCCTCAGCCTCAGCCCAGAGGATTGCTGTGAGTGCAGTGTGTGGAGCTGCCCCAGGCACTAAGCACTAGGCATGGGCTAGCCACTCTTATTGTTATGATTGTCCCACAGATATAATCATGCCATCACTTTGGGACATAAGCCTCCACATTTTTTTCTACATATGATTCAAATAAACAAAAATGGGATGGCATTATTCATATTGTTTTGTGGCTTGTCAGTTCCACTTAACTGAATTTTTCTGCATCAGCATATTAGGGATTTACCTCATCCTTTTAGTAATTCATTGAATGAGTGTGACATAATTGATTTGGCCATTTTTCTAGACACTTGAGCATTTTTTTCCCCTCAGTCTTTGACCATTAGCAGTGGTGCTGTGTAGAACATTCTCAAATATTTTTATCTCTGGGCACTCAGAAGGTTTCCATAAAAAGAGTCTTAAGGTAATTTCACGTACTAAGGTAATTTCACGTACTGTCCTTTCTTTGCATCACCTCCTGAAAGGAAATACTGCTTATACCAACCTCATCTCCTCGCCGCCACCCAAGGGCTAGGCCCAGCCCCAGCCTGGTCAGCAAAGGCAGGGAAAGCTGAGCTGCTGTAGCACTTTCCAAGGGCAGCCACAAGCATCCAGTTCCCTGACACAGTAGGGCCAGGTGTGAACTGGGAGTGTAACACAGTTTATTCTTTCTTCGAAGATCTGAATCCAAGCTCTACCTTTTGGTTCTGGTTGTATTTTCTTCAACACATTACTTAACTATTCTGATCCTGTTTCTTTACATATTAGTGAGATTTACAATCCTCATACATGCTTGTACATACATTATTTCCCTGTTTGTTAATATTCTATTTCAACTTTGGAAAGGACAGCGATCTAAGGCTTCTCAAATGGTTTAGGAAAAATACATATGGAATCTGAAATTACAAAGCAAATGAGTTAAAATGTTAATAATAGGTAAATCAGCGTAAAGGACATAAGAGTTTTCTTTTGTTTTTTGAGACAGAGTTTTGCTCTTGTCTCTCAGGCTGGAGTGCAGTGCTGCAATCTTGGCTCATTGCAACCTCTGCATTCCGGGTTCAAGCAATTCTCCTGCCTCGGCCTCCTGAGTAGCTGGGATTACAGATGCGCACCACGACGCCCAGCTAACTTCTGTATTTTCAGTAGAGATGGGGTTTCACCATGTTGGCCAGGCTGGTCTCAAACTCCTGACTTCAAGTGATCCGCCCACCTCAGCCTTCCAAAGTGTTGGGATTACAGGCATGAGCCACTGTACCTAGCTGAAGTTCCTTATACTAAGTTATCTTCAAGTTTTACTTTGATTTATAATAATACCACTGATTTTTGTTGTCCAGTCGGCCTGCTCACTGCAGTAAGGCATGCAGTGGTTGGTTCCCATATTCAGCTTTATAATGACCAGGCTAAATATGGAGTGCCTCTTGGGCAAGTTGGTTAACCCAGATAAGTAGCAGCCTTCTCACCTACAAAATGGGGAGAAGAGCATTCTCTCACACTGCTAAAGTGAAGACCACGTCACATCATCCATACAGTGTGCTTAGTACTGGGCCTCACACTTGCAGGGTGAGTGATGTGAACAGTGGCGAGGTCAGCACAGCTTGGCTGAGCGGTTGGTTAGGTCAGCACATCCTGGCTAAGAACTCAGTCTGAGAGCTCTAGGGAGACCCAGCTGTCGGAGTGTAGCAGTCTATTTTGGGGACTTACAGGATAACCCACTCTTTTCTGTCACCGAGCCTGAGCTGTGCTCTTGGAATCATGGCTGATAGGAGCAGTCCTCTCCATCCACCCACAGCCAACTCATCCAGCCCCAGCAACTGTGCCCCAAACCAATGGAGCTGGCCCAGCAAGGCACTGCAGCAAGCTCAGAGACACTGCTGAACTGCCTCCTGTGACTTGCTGTGACACTTCCTTGCTTTCTCCCTTCCTGTTTCCTTAGCTGACGGATGCCCCTTCTTTCCTAAGGCTAAAACATTTAGAAATCTGAATTGGAGGAAACTGTGATTTACTGTGGAAATGTCGGTATGTTTCCCGGAATGTCATTATAGGGTCACTGTGTTCCCATTCAGAGCACCTTTTACTGGGTTGTGAAGCCCTTGCTCCAGAGCAGACACAACTCTGTTTCTTACAGGTGGAGTAAGCTCTATAGTTCTTCTAGGTGAAAAGCCACTGCCTGTATATTTGTCAAAATGAGATATATAAGAAGGCAGGCTTGGATTTTATACACCCATGAAGGCCTACTGATGGGGCCCCTTCTGTCACCTGGTAACTCATGGGGAGGACTAGGCAGCCAGAGCTACATGGCAGGTCTGCAGGGCTAGCATGGGAGCTGTCCTACCTGCCACCAAGTAAAGAAAGGTACTTGCAGGAACAGTAGAATAGCTAAGAGCTCATTTCTGTATGTGTGTGTGTATATATATATATATGCATATATACACATATATATGTATACATATGTATGTATATATGTATACATATATATGGTTTCTATAAAATGTGTGTGTATATATATATACACACACATGTATATACACATATATGTGGTTTATATAAAGGTAAAATCACATGGATATATGTAGGATATATAAAAAAATAAATTGGCCAGGCCCAGTGGCTCACACCTGTAATCCCAGTACTTTGGGAGGCCGAGGCAGGTGGATCATGAGGTCATGAGTTCAAGACCAGCCTGGCCAAGATGGTGAAACCCTGTCTCTAATAAAAATATCAAAAAAACAAAAAAAAGCCAGGTGTGGTGATGTGCACCTGTAATATCAGCTACTCAGGAGGCTGAGACAGAGAATTGCTTAAACCCAGGACGCAGAGATTGCAATGAGCCGAGATCGCCTAGGTGACGGAGCAAGATTGTCTTAAAAAAAAAAAAAAAAATCACTGAGCATGGTGGCTTGCTCCTGTAATTCTAGCACTTTGGGAGGGTGAGGTGAGAGGATTGCTTGAGGCCAGGAGGTCAAGGCTGCAACGAGCTATGATCCTACGATCATAGCTCCACTCCAGCCTGGGTGACAGAGAAGATGCCTTCTCTGAAAAAACAAAAGTATTATTATTATTTTGAGACAGAGTCTTGCTCTGTCACCTGGGCTGGAGTGCAAAGGCATGGTCTCTGCTCACTGCAACCTCTGCCTCCTGGGTTCAAACAATTCTCCTGCCTCAGCCTCCTGAGTAGCTGGGATTACAGGTGCACATCACCACACCTGGCTTTTTTTTTTTTTTTAAATATCAAATTTTTGTGTTTTTAGTAGAGATGGGATTTCACCATGTTGGTCAGGTTGGTCTCAAACTCCTGACCTCGTGATCAGCCTGTCTCGGCCTCCCAAAGTGCTGGGATTACAGGCATTAGCCACCATGCCTGGCAAAAAAAAACAATTAAACAAAAATCCTGGGATACTCTCTTAGCACTGATTATCTCTGGGAGTTGAATTTGGAAGCCAGGAGGACTTTTGTTTTTTGTACTATATGTTTCTATATACGATTTGAATGTTTTACCCAGTAGGCATTCATTTTTTTTTTAACTTTTAACTTGGAATAACTTCAGACTTAAAGTTGCAGGAACAGCACAAATAACTCCCATGTACCTTCACGCAAATTCCCTAACTATTAACCTTTTACCTAATTTCCATTTTCATATTCTCTCTGTGTATATGCATGTACACAGTTTATAATATATATAAAACTATGTGTGTATATAGTGTATAATTTTTTCCTGAACCATTTGAAATTGGAGACATAATGCTCATTTATTCCTATTTCAGTGTGTTTCCTAAGAACAAGGGCACAGCACACTTCTCCAAGTCAGGAAATGAACATTGTTATAATACTAGAATCTTAAATTATAAAGCCAGGTTTTAGAGCCTGGCTCAGTGGGCCATGCCTGTAGTCCTAGCTGAGGCAGGAGGATCACTTGAGCTCAGGAGTTAGAGTCCAGCCTAGGCAACATAGCCAGACCCGATCACAAATAAAACCAGGTTTTAAAAATAGAGATCATGAATGGTAGTGAATAGTTGGACACCACTCCCTCACCTGCCTCTCCATCCACATGTGTAGACGCAGCCTCCAAGCATGCAACCCAGGCGTTCTTTGACTGTCTGCGTGCTGAGATGGAACAGTATGAAATTGAGGTGACTGTCATCAGCCCTGGCTACATCCACACCAACCTCTCCATAAATGCCATCACTGCGGATGGATCCAGGTATGGAGGTGAGGCCTGGTTTCTCTTTTCTTTTATGAAAATCTGTCAGTTGGCCAGGCACGGTGGCTCATGCCTGTAATCACAGTACTTTGGGAGGCCGAGGTGGGCAGATCATGAGGTCAGGAGTTCGAGACCTGACTGACCAACATAGTGAAACCCTGTCTCTACTAAAAATACAAAAATTTCCTGGGCGTGGTGGTGCAGGCCAGTAATCCCAGCTATTCAGGAGGCTGAGACAGGAAAATAACTTGAACCCAGAAGGCGGAGGTTGCAGTGAGCTGAGATTGTGCCACTGCACTCCAGCCTGGGTGATGGAACAAGACTTTGTTTCAAAAAAAGAAAATCTGTCGGTCAGCCACAGTGAGACATGCTGCTCTTACCTCAATGATTCTTTGGTCATTTTTATCTGGAACAGAACTTTTAAAGGGGAAAAGCTTGACAGAGGTGTTGGTTATTGACATGGACTAGTGAATAATCTTCGTTTACCTCACCATGGCCCACCTTTAGTGTGAACCATTGCAGCATTCAGAACAGGACCTCTGTGGACAGGACTCAAGGGCTAAAAGGAACTTGCCATGCTGAAATGCCACCAGACTTCCAACTAACCCACTCACAGATCCCGTGGTCCAAGGAGTATCGGTATCAGGGTTGAGTGAATTGACCTTATGGCAAGTGTAAGGTGTTTGATGGTCTGCCTCTGTCCCATAGCTTGAGAAATGACTGATTCAGGGCCAGTCTTCAGCATGAGGCTGAGGGTGGCAGTTTCAGCACCTTCATCTTGTGTCATTTGGAGACAGTGCAGAGCTGACCTGCAGTCACCACTTGTGGGCTGAGCAGCTGGCCCCAGCATGCAGGCTCAGGCCAAGCAGAGACCAGTGTGCTGTGAGCACTGGAGCCCTTGAAGCTGGTGCTGCCTCCCCATGCTTGGAACAGGGCCTGATCACCCTCCAGTGCTGTCCTGCTGTGTCCTCCTCCCTGATGTGATCTCCTGGGGTTTGTGCTGTGGTGTCTGCCCAGGGCCTTATGCTCCTGCACCCAGCCCTGCCAGACCTGAACCAAGATGCCCATTTCCTGGCAGCAGCTGCGCTCTCACACAGCAAGTCTTGTTTTCCCCGCAATAGAAACTATACAGAGGCATAGGGCCTGGTACAGCTTTATACCTGTTTATACATAAAAGATACCACTTTAGCCGGGCACGGTGACTCACACCTGTAATCCCAGCACTTTGGGAGGCCAAGGCGGGTGGATCACAAGGTCAAGAGATCAAGACCATCCTGGTCAACATGGTGAAACCCTGTCTCTACTAAAAATACAAAAAATTAGCTGGGCATGGTGGCGCATGCCTGTAATCCCGACTACTCGGGAGGCTGAGGCAGGAGAATTGCCTGAGCTCAGGAGGTGGGGGTTGCGGTGAGCCGAGATCGTGCCATTGCACTCCAGCCTGGGTAATAAGAGCGAAACTCCATCTCAAAAAAAAAGATACCACTTTAAAAATTATCTCTGTGGCACTTAAAAATAAGCTGTAATGCAAAACTTCCTGTTTCCCTGCATTAACAAAAACACAATGAGAACACTGGTGAGGTAGCTCAGGGAATCTGGACAACTTGAGAGTGGTTTCATATGGCTAGGCACTGTGGCTCACACCTGTAATCGCAGAACTTTGGGAGGTGAAGTCAGGGGGATCTCTTCAGCCTAGGAGTTTGAGACCAGTCTGGGCAATATTGCAAGACCTTGCCTCAACACAAAATACGAAAATTAGCAACCATGGTGGCACCACTTATAGTCCCACCTATTCAGGAGGCTGAGGCAGGAGGACGGCTTGAGCCCTGGAGGTTGAGGCTGCAGTGAGCCATGATTGTGCCATTGCACTCCAGCCTGGGCAACAGAGGGAAACCCTGTCTCAAAAAAAAAAAAAAGTGGTTTTACATGGTCTGTGGTAATGGTCTCTCCTGTGTGCCTGCCAGCTGGTCCTACTTTGCTGGCAAAATTGTCAAATTACTAGGGTAGAAGGAACATCAGTTGCTGTTAATCTAACACTTCCTCTTAATCTCTCCCAGCTGTCCCTTCTAACATCTAAAACAAATTAAGGATTTCTTCCTGTGTCTCATCCAGTTAATACTTGACATCGAGAACAGGGGCATCTGTCTGCTCTTGACTTAGCGAGCTTGCCGTGCATATGTGGGTCATACAGTCCCTAACCACCTTGTCTGGACACCCTGAAGCCAAGCTACCCAAGACAAATGAGGTGGCACAGCATCCCTTAGTCTTTGGTTGTTCTAACAGGTACACGCTTCCCAGGTCAGGAGGCTGCTTTTCAGATGCGGTGCGAGGGGCTCACCCGGCTCACCCTGTGCCTTTGCTGTGGACCACCAGGCAGACAGACTCTCTTTGGTTCCAAGCCCTGACTGGGGTCATCAGTCTACCTTGTTTCCACATCCCGCTCACCTCTCACTTCCCCCACTAACCCATATCCAACCACAAAATGGTTCCTCATTTCCTTAGAGCATGGAATCATTAGGGATGGTGGCACACCACCAGCTTCCTGGCTCTGGGAAGCTTCATGGTGGGAAAGGCAGCAGGCTGACCTGACGGCTGACATCAGCTCAGATCCTCAAGAGGGACCTCTGCTTCCAAGTTACTGTGTTTTCTTTTGCTTTGTTTATTTTAGTTATGGACAAGACCACAGCCCAGGGCCGAAGCCCTGTGGAAGTTGCCCAGGACATTCTCGCTGCTGTGGGGAAGAAGAAGAAAGATGTGATCCTGGCTGATGTGCTGCCTTCCTTGGCCATTTATCTTCGAACTCTGGCTCCTGGGCTCTTCTTCAGCCTCATGGCCTCCAGGGCCAGAAAAGAGCGGAAATCCAAGAACGTCTAGTGCTCTGACCAGCCAGAGCCAGGGCAGAGAAGCCACACTCCTAGGCTCGGTTTCTCTACAAGGGACAGTTGCATTTGTTAAGACTTTAATGGAGATTTGTCTCACAAGTGGGAAGGATTGAAGAAACACATCCTGTGCAGATCTGCTGGCAGAGGAGAACCAAACAAGCTTCTTCCCAGGGCGAGGGGAGACACTTAAGGAATAAATACGGAGCTGCGGTTTAATGCTACAAATAGGAAATAAATGTCTCAAACAGTAAGAGTTGTAGTCTTCAAGGACTAGAACCTTGTGTCCTGTGAATTCCAGCCCTGCCAACTCCTAGAAATTGTTTCAACCTTAGAATCAGAAGATGTGATGTCACCTGACCCAGCTGTTTTCATATTTGACGTAAACCTCATTGTTTTGGCAGAAAGACCACCTTCAGCACTCACGGGAAAACTCAGTAGTTTTAAGAAGTCAGTAGTCATGCCCATTTCCAGGGCCCTGTGATAGCCAACACAAAAAGTAGACCAGTATGTGATGGCTTATTTGGCATATCCCAAGGGTTGCTGGCTTTAGCACCTCATAGGAATTTCAATTTCTAGGCCGGGTACGGTGGCTCACGCCTGTAATCCCAGCACTTTGGGAGGCAGAGGCGGGCGGATCACAAGGTCAAGAGATCAAGACCATCCTGAGCAACATGGTGAAACCCCTCTCTACCAAAAAATACAAAAATTAGCTGGGCGTGGTGGCATGCACCTGTAATCCCAGCTACTTGAGAGGCTGAGGCAAGATAATTGCTTGAACCCAGGAGGAAAGATTGCAGTGAGCCGCGATTGTGCCACTGCACTCCAGCCTGGTGCCTGGCGACAGAGCAAGACTCTGTCTCAAAAAAAAACAAAGGAATTTCCATTTCTCTCTTACCTCTCACCACATCCCTGTAGGATGCCAGGCAGCCAAAAGTGAGAGGAGAACCCTGCATGGCCCTGCATCCTCTAGAAATGAAACCATCAAACTGGCCAGCTGTGCAGATTCTACAGCAGTCCCTGGTCTGGTGGAAGTGAACAATTTGTTAGCTGTAACTAGCTGGATCATAGCCAGAAAGAATGCCTGTTTCTGCCTTTCTGATTTATTAAAAATACAGGGGTGAGGCTCACTGAGTAGGTCAAGTTCATTTCTAATGTTTAGGAAGAAACTTTTCCTGTTACTGAAACTGAAAATTAAAATGTATTGGAATACAAATCTCCTAGCATATAATATTGACATTTTGCACCATGTCCCAATTCTGGCCTTGTTGAGATTGGATTTTAAACAGCTGCCCTAAACAGATGATAAAAATGGCCATAGCCAGCCTTTGGTTAGGGTGCCAGAGGGTTTCAGGTTTCCTGGGAGTAGGAGGACAAATGGGTGACTAGATCTGGTGACCTGCCCCAGCTCATAACATTTCCTGGACGTTCCCAGAGCCTTTGGTAAAATGTGGACATAGTGATGGGTGGTTCTTCATTTTCCAGGTAAATTGTCAGCCTCCCTCCTGACATGGAAGAGAAGGGTCTCCTTGGTGTTCACAGAGGAGACAGTAAACCCAGGCAAGAGCTGGTACTGAGACAGCAGCAGCACCTTTCTAAAGCTTAGCCCGATTCTGAGGTTGAATCAAAGTGCCAGGCGCACAGCAAGTTTCCAGGAAATGGCAGCCATGAAGGGCGCTCTCCCTCTGATGGAAACAAGAGGACAAATCTTGGATGCGTTGGCTGCCACACTCAGAGGCACCTGATGTCCAGGTGCTGTCCTTTCCTCTCCATTATATAACCTGGTCAGCAACTGGAGGTTGATGTGATAGACTGCCCTCAAAGGAATGCAAGTTTAGCAACCGTATACTCCATCAGAAGATGGGAACGTCAAATATGTTCTTGAGGTGGTTGGTTTTGGGGCCATTGTGACCTGACTCAGCTGGCAAGCATGGAGCTTGGGCTGGCACTAAAGATTCCTTAACCTACACACCACCTGTGAGTTGTAATTGGTTAGATTGCAGCCAGAACAAACACCTGCTTCCACCTTTCTTTTTTGAGATGGAGTTTCGCTCTTGTCACCCAGGCTGGAGTGCAGTGGCTCAATCTCGGCTCACTGCAACCGCCATCTCCTGTGATTCACCTTCAAGTGATTTTCCTGCCTCAACCTCCCGAGTAGCTAGGATTACAAGTGTGTGCCACCATGCCCGGCTACCACCTAATTTATTAAAAATACGTGTTGAGGCTTACTGAGTAGGTCAGGTTCATTTTTAAAGTTTATTTCCTCCCAAATTAAAGTGGTTAGCAGCTGGAGACTGACGTGCTAGATCTCAGTACTACTGGTTATTTACTTAACATTCTAAAAGCCTCAGCTCACTTTTTTTTTCAAGGTAAGTAAAACTTACCTTGACAAACTTTATATTCTACCATATAAACTATAACACAAACTGAACAATTACTAAAACCTAGCTAAATAAAGCTGTTGGCCATAGGCGGAGTCTGAGTCCCCCTGTTCTTGAGGAAGTTGGCAAGTCCCAGAGGGGACCTACACCAGCACCAGACAGACGCTCTTCTTGCACTCAGAGGTTGAGGACTAAAAGGGCTGGCAGCTGTGGTCTTTCATGTCCATGCTGCTCCTACCGTCGTCTCAGGTCCCTGGAGTTCTGTGTCCCTTCCTGGAGACAGCAAGGGTTTGGATAATGTAGGACTTACCGAGCCTTTAGAATTGTCCCAACTTAGCAGCTGAAGCAGCTTCCTGTGGGTGAGCCCCATGTGCATTGTTCCAAAGAAGCCCGGGTGCAGCTGGTGGCCCCGAGCAACCTTCATTGCTCTCCGATTTTCAAGCCAGTGTTTGAATAGGAACGTTTGCCAGCAGGGTTAGTGGTGCTGCTGTTCGGTTTCTCTTTTCTGTCTTTAGAGGGGTTTTGCCCCCTTCTCTTTCATCCTTAAATTCTGCTGGGGAGGTCTGAAAAAGCAGTTTTTAAATGGTTCTACCTCAGATATCTGATGAAGTTCAAAGGCACTTTCCACTTTGCTCTTCAAGCGCCTTGGTGTTTCACATCATGCCCAAACCAGAGACGGAAAAATAAAACCAAATTAGCTTTCCAAACAGCAGCATCTCCATGCAGTGTAGAGGGGCCGTAGCTGATTAGTGAATCCAAAAAATAGTGTACAGCCCCTGGGCGCCTGCCCACCTCCCAGCAGGTCTCCCTTCCTTCCCTCAGGGCCCAGCAGCTGCTGCACCAGATGTGAAAACTTTGGAGCGAGCTGACAGACCGGAACGGGATCCAGTTTGATCAGCTGTCCTTTTACATAACGGCTCTTCATTCTCCTCTGAAAATGGGAGATAGGTAGCTGAAACTGATTTGCTAGATTAGTGACACAGTCCCTAAAATGGTCCGTGTAGAACTCATTTAAGTGGATTTTGCACAGGAGGGCCCCGGTAACTTGGCCTTTGCATTCCCTCAATTGGCAGTTACTGAATGCTGTTTAAACAACAAAGATTTGGCCGGGCATGGTGGCTCACACCTGTAATCTGTAATCTCAGCACTTTGGGAGGCCAAGGCAGGCAGATCACCTGAGGCCAGGAGTTTGAGACCAGCCTGCCATCACGGCAAAACGCTCTCTCTACTAAAAATACAAAAAATTAGCTGGGCATGGTGGTGGGCACCTGTAATCCCAGCCAATTGGGAGGCTGAGGCAGGAGAATTACTTGAATCTGGGAGGCTGAGGCTGCAGTGAGCCAAGATCGTGCCATTGCACTCCAGCCTGGGCGACAGAGTCCATCTCAAAAAAGACTTGTCGACAGGATCGCACTTTGTTGCCTAAGCTGGAGTGCAGTGGTGTGATAACAGCTCACTGCATGCATCCTCAACCTTCCAGGCTTAGCGATTGTCCCACCTCAGACCCGAGTAGCTGGGACATTTGCATACCACCTGACTAATTTTTGTATTTTTTTTTTTATAGATAGGGTCTTGCTATGTTGCCCAGACTTGTCTTGAACTCCTGGACCTCAAGTATTTAATGCTCCTCCTGCCTCAGCCTCCCAACATGCTGGGATTACAGGCATGAGCTACTGTACTCAGCCACCGAATGCTGTTTCTTCAAAAATACTGTCACATATCACAGATGAGCACAAGTGACTCAGCAGCAGCTCTGCCATGACTGCTTATCTAGGTGGGGCAGTGGTGGGAACAGAGAAGTCAGCACTGAGGGAGGTGCACTTCTGCTTCTCCTCCACGCTGCTGGCCTCAGGCACACCAAACCCTGCCTGCTGTCTACACCAGCACCTCCCATCTATCTAAGATGGTGTTTCACAATCTGGGTTAGTACATCCAGTAAGAATCACTTTGTTCAGTGCAGCTTAGGAAATGGTGGGAGAGCTACCTGTTTGCACCTGGTTTGTACTTCAGGTGAGGGCTTCTGCTCAGCTGACTTGAGGTTGCCTTGACTTACCCAACTTGGGCCTTCTAGTCAAATTCCCCATGAAATCTAAGTTGTAGGCAGAGTACTTCCAGGCCAGGCATGGGGCTCCTTTTCCAAATATGAGCATTAAAAAAAAAAAGCCTGCCAGCAGGCTCAGATGCCAGCACGCAGACACCTGAGGGCTCATGCACACCTGCATTTCAGTCACACTGCCGAGATGGGGCATGTTTTTCTGGGATCAGTTGTGTGGCCAAGACAGTTTCCTCTTTACCGTCATTCCAGGTGGCCCAAGACTGCCACGTAAACAGTGGTGCACACGCAACACCATCATGCCCCCAGCACTCAACTGAGTGATAAGTATTTCTCAATATCTTGGAATTAAAATTTCTTAAACTTTCTGTGGGCCACTGATCCCTTTTAAAATCTTTAAATGCTCTGAATCTCCCCTATGAAAAATGGCCCCATCACCCCTCTTGAAATCCTTCCATGCACCCCTTCATTACTCTGTGATATCAGGTCTTCCTGATGGAAGCCTTTAAACTAGGTGAGGAACCACTTTGGCTGTCTCTTAAAGACTGGCCTAGCTGGGCACAGCAGCTCACGCCTGTAATCCAAGCACTTTGGGAGGTCAAGGTGGGCAGATCACTTGAGGCCAGGAGTTTGAGACCAGCCTTGCCAGCGTGGCAAAATCCCGCCTATACTAAAAATACAAAAATTATCTGGGCATGGTGGCACACACCTAGTCCCAGCTACTTGGGGCTGAGGCATGAGAATCACTTAAACTCAGGATGTGGAGGATGCAGTGAGCCAAGATCATGTCACTGCACTCCATCCTGGGCAGCAGAGCAAGACTTGTCTCAAAAAAAAAACTGGCCTTCAGGAAGAGGTGCCATGTGGCTCTTAAAGGGTGAATGGGGCTTTGAAGGCAGGGGCCCCAGCCTTTTTATGGAAGAGATAATTTCAAATTTTCCCAAGGCCTTAGAGCAAGCTTGTCCAATCAGCAATCAATCAGCGGCCCATGGGCCACATGCAGCCTAGGACAGCTTTGAATGTGGCCCAACACAAATTCATAAACTTTCCTAAAACATTATTTTTTTGCAATTTTTTTAAAGCTCATCAGCTTTCATTAGTGTTAGTGTATTTTATGTGTGGCCCAAGACAATGATTTTTCCAATGTGGTGCAGGGAAGTCAAAAGATTGGCCACCCAGGTGAGGCTCACGCAGTGGCTCACACCTGTAATCCCAGTACTTTGGGAGGCTGAGGCGGGTGGATCACAAGGTCAAAAGATCAAGACCATCCTGGCCATCATGGTGAAACACCGTCTCTAATAAAAATACAAAAAATTAGCTTGGCATAGTCCCAGCTACTAGGGAGGCCGAAGCAGAAGAATCGTCTGAACCCAAGAGGTAGAGGTTGCAGTGAACCAAGATCGTGCCACTGCACTCCAGCCTGGCAACAGAGCAAAAACAAAAAAAAGACTGGCCACCCTTGCCTTAGAGAAAACGTGGCAGGTGACACATGTTTTGGTGTGAGGGAGAAGCACCGGCTTGGCTCCTGTGGAACAAGGAGCACCAAGGCCAGGGGGTGCTTCCAAGATTGCTCTGAGGGCTCTTCTGTCAGCCTAGGGCAATGGGTTAATAAACTCAGGGTCCAGCTTCGCGCTTCAAAGAAGCACGTTCAGATCTCTGAAGAGAAATCCTAGAGCCCAGAGTTCCCCACATGAACCCAAGTGGACACCCCAAGGCCTCCAAGCTTTGTCACCTTATGCTACCATCTTCCTGAGGAGCATGGTAGCAGTGCTGGCCTTAGGAACGCTGAGGCCAAGGCAGCCAGGAGACGGTTACTGGGTGGGATCTGGCCCCAGGACTACCTCGGATCTAGGCTTGTCGTCACTGCAAGTGGTAACACCGCGCTGTCGCTAGGAGCAGGGCAGGGTGGCGACCGGTGCCTGCTCCTTCCACATGTAAGCCGCTGCCCAGGGCAGATGTGCAGCAGCAGCAGCTGCAGACAGTCATGGAAAGAGAACAGCGGGAATTGAAATGCTCATAATTTTAATGGTCAATAGCTTCTGGTGGGCTCTGGATGGTACAGTTAAACAATATACTTAAAGACCTCCCCCAAAGCACGTCCACACCCCTCAGCAGCGTCTGCCTCCATCAGCGTTCCACTGCCCAATCAGACTTTCACAGCCTCAGACCCTCCTTTTGGGTTATGGAAATCCACATCTCAGTGTAATGAGCTGAAAAACCCTGGGTACACCCGTGACCTGTTATTTTTTTTTAAAATAACAAATATTAAGCCAAACACGTTCCAGGCTCTGCTGCCTCACAGAGTAAGCAACATGACTGTGGCGATCTGAATGCTCCGTTGTCTCTTGTGGGCCAGGCGGTTCTGCTCTCCCTGTGCTACTGAAATCATACTGCATAGAGTTCATAAATCTTCTTTACACAGTACACCAGGGCGGCCAGTGCTATCGTGTTGTGCAGTCTCTTTCTGTGCAGGTCGTCCTTCCGGACCAGCACCACCGGGGTGGAAGATGTGAGTGTGTGCAGAGGCAGGCGTGACAGTTTATAGGCGTCGTACTCTACTTGGTACTTGCAGCAAGGGTCAAACTGCCACGAGATCCCATAGAGGGTGCAGCAGGCCAGGCTCAGCACGCCAGCAGGCAGGGAGATGTAGTGGGAATAATCTAAGGGCAGCGCCAACGGGGTGAAGAGGCAGGCGGTGCCCGCCAGCACGGCCGTCTTGTGCAAGCAGTTGCCCACGGTGATCCAGCGGGCCGTCTCGTCACCGATGCGAGTGGGCTCGATCACGATATATTTGTACTGGGCTTCCAAGGCCTGTTCCAGCTCATACTCAAACTGGTCTTGGGCGTTCTCCCCATTGTAGATCTCATGCACAATGTAGCAGTCTGTGGCCGACAAGCTCACCCTTTTGATGGAGGGGGTGGGAGAGAGAGAGAGGGTGATTAGGCGAAGGAGCACTTAACTGTGTGTTTCAGCACTGGGGGAGGTCTGAGCCTGCAACTCAGCTTACAGCCTGCACTGCGGAGGGCACATCTCACTGAGGTTCTCATCCCAATACAAGACAATAGGCAAAAAGTATATTTCCTTTCCAGGAGGCGAAGGCTGTAGTGAGCTGAGACCGTGCCACTACACTCCAGCCTGGCAACAAAGCAGGACTCTACCTCAAAAAAAAAAAAAAAAAAAAGGAAAAAAAATTTTTTTTCTTTTTTTTTTTGAGACAGAGTTTCGCTGTTGTTACCCAGTCTGGAGTGCAATGGCACGATCTCAGCTCACCACGACCTCCACATTCTGGGTTCAAGCAATTCTCCTGCCTCAGCCTCCCAAGTAGCTGGGACTACAGGCGCGCACCACCATGCCCAGCTAATTTTTGTATTTTTAGTAGAGACGGGGTTTCACCTTGTTGACCAGGATGGTCTCGATCTCTTGACCTCGTGATCCACCACGCCTGGCCAAAAGAAAATTTTCCTGAAAAAATAGTGAAATATAAAAAAAGGCAGGAAAAGAAGTACTTTGACTTTAAAATGGCAAACGCAAGCCTGGTGGTTAGCCTAAGGCTGTGGACCAACTAATCTGTGAGTCAGCCAAGGAGCCTAAAGGAGAGAACCATCCGGCGGAGAATCACATGGACACAAACGGCAGCAAGAGGCCCGAAGCCTGAAAGGTGCTCTTAATCAGGGCAACTGCAGGAGGATTTTTCACTGGAAACCAACAGACCTCGGGACAGATAAAACTAAGCCCTTGCCCTCCACAGGGTTCCTAAGTAGTCATCCTGGCCCTGCAGAACAGAGGCAGAAAGGAAGGGCTTTGCCTTGGGTGACTGAAACCCAAACTCCTTTGGCTCTCCTGGGAGGCCAGGCTGTACAAGCCCTGGGTGCCCTTCACAGGCCGGCAGCAGCAACCACCCCCACTCACGGAGGAGAGAACAGGAGACCCAGGACACTAGCCCACTCCATAGGAAAAGCGACCCTTTCACTGATTTTGGAAAAGACACACATGAACAGTAGTGGCCCCCAAATTTAATGGGCAGGAAGGTCACTTGAGGGGTTTCAAAACATCCAGCCCAGATGATGACACCAATTCTGGCCTTGTAGAATTGGTGTCACTCATTTGCATAAGAAACACTGCCACAGAGACCACATAAGGGGCTTTGCCCCTGGGACTGGGGATGCCCAACAGGACCCCAACTAGCAGGAGAGTAATCTGGCCCATGGAAGGCTCAGCTCTGCAGCAAGGCCAGGTGGCGGCCTGGCTGCACCCCCGCACTGACCGTGGGCCAGGCTGCATTTTAGGCACTCTGGGTAAAAAACCCTGGTTTCTGGCCTGTCCAGTGCAAATTTCCCACCCAAAGCAGGATCTTCTTCCCCTGCGGTGGGCAGGCCTGAATTCAGGGCTGTCCACTCCTTGTCATCTCTCCTTGGCTGGTTTCAGCTGGCCCAGATCTTTCTGAATCTCTGCACAGTCACCCCGCACGCTACTTGTCCTCACCTGCAAGAAGGCTTTATCTGAGCCCTGACAGGGACACTGCTACAGGCAACTCTTGAGGCTGGATCAAGTTTTCCAACTTGTGGCTCCCAAGGCTGTGCAAAGCCATGTTCTGTCACCTGCCTCAGTGAAAAGCAGTCCCTTCCCTCAGCAAACCCTGGTCCCCAGGACGGTCAGACCCATCTGACTAAGGGACATGAGGCTCCAGGGACCTGCTGGTCACTGCTCCCCTACCAGAGCCCATGCCCCTCCAACTGGGACACTCTGGGACAGTGTTCCAGCCACACAAGGGTCAACATGGCCCATCTACCTGTGGCTCCAAATGTCTGACAGGAAGCAGGTTCCTTTGCTGGCCAACGAGAAGCACAGCCCTCAGTGTGCCCAGATTGGAAGGGCCCACCTGCCTGTCCTATCCTGGCATGCACGCCTGGCCGCCGTGCAGAGAGGAAAGTCACGGCGAGCTGAGCCACCTGGCCAGTGGCAACGTGGGAGTGATGAGTGAAGACATTCATAATAAGCCACCCCAGAACCTCAGCCCAGCATGAAGATAACCCCAGCCTGCTTCAAGGGTGGGAGCAATTCCAAGTGATGAGTGGTAGAAATCAGACTGTCAGGGCAAACTTCAAGGGAAAAAAACAGGCAATCATATTCCTACTACTGAGACTCCTCCCAGCTCCAAGCCTTCAGCAAACAAATAAGCAAACCTAACAAGCAGGGTTCCATTCTGGTTGGATAAACAACTGGTTAACATCTCATGTGGCCGCACTGAAAATGAAAGTCAGTGGTAATGGGCTGACTGTGCCCCCAAGCATGAGGGCCCTACTCCCAGGTAGGAAGCACTTTCATAAAATGCACTGGCTTGGACTTGGGCAAAGGGAACTCTTTATCCTGAAAAAGTAATTCAGCTGGGCTAAGCAAAGCCTCCTAATTCAATCATAGGCCCTAATTAAACTGCATGCACTGGGGAGAAATCAGTTCCCTGAGGGTGGGACAAGAGCCTCCTAAACATGGGTTGCTGCCAAACTGCCTGTGACTGTGTGCCAGTGTCTTGCCTGCCTTGCTGGGGTGAACTGATGAGCTGTTTCTTTAAGACTGCACAAGAAGCTTATGAAATGGGGAAAGGAGGGTTTTCCTTCTGAAGTCCTCAGTGGAGTTTCTCCATTTGGTCTTAACTCAGAGGAGAGGTGGGGTGGGGGGGCCACATCAGCTGTTATTTAGGCAGAATTCAACAATTTTTTTTTTTTTTTTTTGAGATAGAGTCTGGCTCTATCGCCAGGCTGGAGTGCAGTGGTGCAGTCTCAGCTCACTGCAACCTCCGCCTCCTGGGTTCAAGCTATTCTTCTGCCTCAGCCTCTCAAGCAGCTGGGACAACAGGCACGTGCCACAATGCCCAGCTAAGTTTTTTTTTTTTTTTTTTTAGTAGAGACAGGGTTTCACTATGTTGAACAGAATGGTCTCGACCTCCTGACCTTGTGATCCGCCCGCCTCAGTCTCCTTAAGTACAGGGATTGTGTGAGCCACCATGCCCAGCCAACAATTTTTAAGACATAGTCCCGCTCTGCTACCCAGGCAGGAGTATGCTGGTGTAATCTTTGCTCATTGCAGCCTTGACCTCCTGGGCTCAAGAGGATCAAGAGATCCTCCCACCTCAGCCTCCTGAGTAGCTGGGACTACAGGTCTGTGACGTGATCTCAACTCACTGCAGCCTCTGCCTCCCAGGTTCAAGTGATTCTCCTGCCTCAGCCTCCTAAGTAGCTGGGGTTATAGGCATCTGCCACCACACCTAATTTTTGTATTTTTAGTAGAGATGGGGTCTCATCATGTTAATCAGGCTGGTTTTGAACTCCTGACCTCGTGATCTGCCCACCTTGTGCTGGGATTACAGGTGTGAGCCACCACAGCTGGCCTAAAAAAGTTTTGCCATGTTGCCCAGGCTGGTCTCGAACTCCTGAGCTCAAATGTTCCACTCTCCTTGGCCTCTGAAAGTCCTGGGATTCAAAGGCAAGAGCTACCACATCCAGTCAGATTCAGCATTTTAAAAGCCACACTTAGCAAACAAGCAGACCAGAGGCAGGGTCTTCATTGGCACTGGAGGACTGAAGGCTAAGCAGTGCCCCCATATGCTTATATGAGAGATGGTGGGCAGTGTGCAGGGAGGAGCGGGGCTTCCACTCCCAGGTGGGAGCACTCCTTAGAAAACTCCCTTCTGGTCTCAAGTCCATCAGGCAAGAGGAGCAGAGAGGCCAGAGAACAAGGTGGGGGTAGGGGGCCAAATCTTGTCCCCATCTTGAGACCAAAATGGAGTTGCTTCCAAGTCAGCTGTGCATCCTACTGACGGTCAAAGCCAAGCCAGGGACACCCTGGGGTGGGCACCAGAGGCAGGCTTCCTCCTTCAGGAACACTCAAAGCAAAAGGGAGGTGCCAAGTTGGGGCTACACAATGTTCTCGCCAACACCCAAATCCACCCTTGTGCGCTCCCTTTCTCTGCCCAACAGGCCAGCATCATCCTGAAAGTAGTGAAAACCATTGTTGGTCCCACTGAGGAAATCCCAGTGGAAACCCCAGCCACCGGAACAGACTGCCCCAACTGGAAACACAGCAGTGGGCAGATCCCACGCCCTCCGGCCCCCGTGCAAGCCCAGCTGGCACCCACATCCACCCAGACCCCTCTGCAGGCTCCATTGCTTGCTGGGAAGGATGGGTGGGTCTGCCCACGAGTCCCAACCAGCCTGGAAGCTTCAAGAGACCAAGGCCTTCCAGGATCCCTCCCACATCACTGCCATTGCCAAGTGTGGCCCGCCCCCCAGCACAGGGAGTGAGGAGACCAGGTACCCTCTGCCCTTAGCTGTGAGCAGTCCTGTGAATGGCACAGCCATGAGCAAGCGTGTGGACATGGGGGCACTCGCTAGCATACGTCCTGAGATGTTGGCATGGGTCTGCCCCCACCTGCCTGCCAAACCACTGCCTGGGCCTCCTGCAGCCTCAGTGTCTTCCTGTGGGCTGGGCACTCTTGCTGCCCACCATCTAAGACACCTACCCACAGCAGAAACACAAAGGGCATAAGCCACACTGCCCCCAAACAAAGGCAGCGTCCTGCATAACTGCGCTGAGGCTGAGGACTCACCAATGTGCTTTTAAAGCCAGTTAGGCAAAGGGAATCTCAGTTTCCACTGGGAAAAGACAACATGTGAAGTCTAGGAAATGGATTTCTGGGATTCCATAATGAGACAGACTCTAGGAGACAGCAAGATTCCAACCAAAACACACAGACACAGGTTTTGAAGCTGTCGCTGCTGGGCTCCTGGGTCCAGGTCTGCATTGCTGACAGGGACTGCTGGACTTCTCTTACTTCAGAAACTCATGGCCATGACCAGGCATGGTGGCTCACACCTGTAATCCCAGCACTTTGGGAGGCCAAGGTGG